AAAAAAAAAAAAAAAACTAATTGTAAAAATTTTGATTTAAATAATAAATATATTAATAATTATTAATTTAATATTAACTATAATAAAGTCACTTTAATTTAATTGTTTGTTTAATATTTAGAATTTATGAAAAGTTTGAGGAAAAAGAGAAGGTCTATAATAAACAAATAAATATAATATATTTTGAAAAAATTCAGAAAATTTTGGAAAATTGTAATTTAAATAATTTAAATTTAGAATAAATATTTAAACTAGGGTTTTGCTAAAGATCACCAGCGGTGACCGTCACCACATTCAATTTTAATAGAAAATTTAAAATTCGAAAATTGATCAGTGATCGGCTAAAATTTTGATATAAAATTTGATCGCATGCGACCATGTGACACATGTACGTATGATTTTTAAAAAGAGTTTTCACGCGCTCTCTCTAATTTATTGGACTAAATAAAACAACACATCACAGTTATAATGACAAAAAAGGGTCGTTCTCTGATTTGAACCAAATAAAATCAACACATAGCACAAATTTATAATGGACAAAAGCCCTAAACGTCCTTTTTTAGTAGTATATTCCTCAGAAGAGGAGGAGATTGCTGACGTTAACTCCTTACAGAAGGAATTTGAGGAGATTGCGAACAAAGCAAGTACGGACAGTGAGAATATAGTAGATTTTGATGATAAGGTAGTGTTTGGGCTTAAAGTAGGTATTGTATACAATAATTATATGAATATAATGTGTGTTTTTTCATTAAAAGTTATTAAAATTTTTTTTCATTTAGGAGACGCCTTTGAAGAGGTTGAGGGCAAAAATGACTTGTCAAATGTGGAAAGTACAGATAGTGAGAGTACAGAGGTTGAGGGTGAAAGCATCTTGTCGAGTGTGAAAAGTACAGATAGCGAGAGTATAGAATTTGATGATAATATAGCATTTAAGCTTGAAATAGGTATTATATACTATACAATATATGATTGTACAATATGTTTTTTGTCATAAGTTATTAAAGTTCTTGCTCTTTCAAGAGATACCTTCGAAGACTGGGATCTAGCTGAAAGACAAATTGAGAAACATGCAACAGAAACTGGTTTTGAGATTTTAAAGCGTCGACTTGGGAGAAATAAACATGGCGAAATAATAAGTCGTACATTTGAGTGCAAGAATTCTCGTGAATATCATGCAAGAAAGAAAGCAGATATAGAAGACAACTGTGAGCATGAAAGTGTAAAGAAAAACTGCCTTTGGAAAGTTAACCTTTACCTTTCTAGTGGTATTATACGTATTACCTCATTATGCAAGGAGCACAACCATCCCTTAATTGAAAATATAAGAGATATGGCATCAAAATTTTATCGTCTCAGTCCAGAAATGCTTGAAGAGGTCGAATTTCTTGTTAATATTGGTTGTAGTGCAGGTCCAATCATTCATGGACTCCAAAAACGTTTTCCTGATGCAAGAATTTATCCTAAAAATGTATACAATGCGATATGTATTTTTTAGCGTAGCGGGAAAATAGTAAAGACTGATGCAGCTGAAATATATAACAGATTAATACAGCTGCAACACGAAGAACATGGCTGGTTTGTTGAGGTAAGATTGGAAGGGGAAGATAATCATCTTACCAGGTTGTTTTGGATGAGGCCATCCCAAATTGATTTATGGCAAAGATTTCATGATGTTGCGATTTATGATAATACATCACAAACAAATAAGTATCGTATGTATCTATCTCTTATGATTGTTGTGGATAATTATACATGCTCCCAGATGGTTGCAACTGCTGTTATGTCAGACGAAACCAAGGAAACTTACTAATGGATCCTTAAGTGTTTATTACGGGCCACTAATGATCTTGCACTAAGAGTATTGTTTACGGATGCAAATCCTACTATGGTTGCAGCTGTTCATGAAACATTGCCTTCAACAAAACACAACTATTGCATTTGGCACATACACAAAAATCTTGAGAAAAACTTAAAAGGAAAGCTTTATAGTAAATATTCTGATTTTATAGTGGAATGGAATAAATGCCGTAATAGTTTTTCTGAAGATGAATTTGAAAATTGATGGCAAAACCTTCTTATTAACTTTTCAGCAGCGCGAAAATATATTGAATGCGGTACTGATGTGACTAGCTGGGCTTTATGCTACACCCATCGATCTTTTAATGCTGGGATCCAATCAACATCACGTGTTAAAAGTTACAATGCGTTGATTAAGTGATCTGTTAGGAGTTCTACAACATTATTCAAACTGAATACAGAGATTCAGTTGCAACTCGATAAAGAAGAACAATTTGAACGGTTAGAAGAACAAAGCCATAAAAATCCAACTGTAGGATTACCCAATATTGTTAACAGATTCTTTAAACGGATTGATGTAATTATTAAAAAGTATCTTACACCACGAGTATTGAAGATACAACATAGTCAAATGAATGAGAGCTTGCTTTATCGTACTAAAAGAATTAAGGATTGGAAAGATTTACTTAATCATGAGGTATAAATTTGTTATTAGCTAGTTCATGGTATAGATATATGAGTTGATTTAATCTTATCCAATATTGTAGTTAAACTTTATCGATAAAGAATCCAACTTAATTAAAAAGACCAGCATGGTTGATCAAGGATATGATTCTGATCTGATGGATGAGTCTGGTAGCATTGATTAAGGATATGATTCTGATCCGATGGAAGAGGCCAGTAATATAGAATTTGCCGAAGATAATTATGAATCTGTATTATCAAATTTGGCTTCCTTAATTACATATATTGATCAAGAAAGTATTCATGAGGTATGGCATGTCTCAACCATCGAACAAAATAAAGAACACTTCGTGGTTGTTTATGGAAATGCTAATCACTTGTGCACATGTATGTATCTTGTAACAAGAGGAATTGTTTGTCGTCATTTTTTTTCAGTGATGCTTGCTTCAAATAAGGCCATATTTCATGTTGGTCTTATTCCAAATTGATGGTACATTGATATAACATATAAATCCCAAAAAGAAGCTGCAATTATTGTTTGCAATAATGCGTCAGGTGATAGTGAAGTTGTATACGAACACCAAATTGAGATGAATTTTAATATGTTGAATGAAATTCGTCATATTCAAGTATTTTCAGAGACTGTCAAAAAAAATTTGTCTAATCAAGTAAAGTATAGTCAAGGACTTGGATATGCAAAGAAGGCTTTAAATTTAGCTCTTGAAAATAGCTGTGAAAACGAGTTGAATAGGCTTTTACAACATTGGATCAAAGATAAGAAAAAAGAAATTTATGTTAATCAAGAGAATGAATCCAATAAGGAAAACCTTTTGAATATTAGCAATCCTTATAAGACACGTACAAAGGGTGCTCCTAAAAAGAAGCGTATAAAGAGTACATTAGAAAATAAACACTATCATAATGAAAATATGCATACAACCATGTAAGCTATTAGGTTTTTTTTTATTTTATTGTTAAATAATATTTTTTTTATATGGCTAATGCGCCATTTACTTCTTGGGAATTAAATTTAGCAAATCTCATGCAATAATAAAGATTACAGCTAATGATAAACAACCAATGAAACAAAAAAACATTACAATTAACGAATATACAAATAATGAATTAAATAATGAATTAGAAAGTTCAACTACCAAACATCTTAATAAAAATGTTTGTGTGCCAATACGACACATTAATAAGGGTAAAGGCAAAATGCATACTACCACCACTGAGGATTTACAACAGCAAGATGTGTAAGTATATCCAACTTAATGTGTTTGTTATAATAGATCCTTTAATAATAAAACTTAAATTTTTATTGTTCTTTTTTGTATAGGATTAGTAAATCGGAAGAGGCTTTTGATAAACAAATGAAAGTGGCAATCCAGCGTTCAAGACAACAATACAATAAGCCAGGTGAATCTTCTCAGTATAATGATAGTATAGAGATACAAAAGGAAAAAGGAAGTGGTGTAAAATATTCATGTGGTTATTGCAAAGCTGTTGAACATAATGCTCGTAGTTGTAGACTTAAGAATAAGTCAAATAAATCAAACTAGATATTTTTAGTTTTTAATACAATAAATAAATCATTTCAAGATAATTTGATACAATAAAAATTGTAAAGATTTTAGTCAGAAAAATAAATACGAAAAATCAACCATAAAAAATCAATCACGTCAAACAAAAAATTTTTAATAGTGAAAATCACTACTGGTGAAAATCACATGTAGTGAAAATCATGTGTAGTGAAAATCACATGTAGTGAAAATTACCACTAGTGACGGTTACCACTGGTGATCTTTAGCAAAACCCTTTAAACTATATATTAATAAAATCCAGATTTTTAAAAAAATAAAAAGGAAAAGGATATATTAAACAAATAATTAAATTAAAATAGCCTAAAATTTTAAAATTTTTGTTAAAAAAAATTTTGGTTATACGATATAGATAATACATCGTCAGATATCAATCAATAAAATAAAAAGATTATTAAACAATTAAAATTTTATAGTTTTTAAAAAATTATCTGAAAAACAGCTTTTTTAATTTAAATATAGTAAATCTTTTTTTATTTTGTAAATTTATATAAAAATAACTGTTTAATATATATAATTAATTATTTAATTTATATAAAAAATCAAATAGATGAATATTAATAATATAAATCTTTAATATAATTAAAAAATATTAAATTTTAATATTAAATTTTTAAAAAAAATAAACTTTATTTTTTTTTTATATTTAAAATTTTTCTTTTAAATAATATAATTATATAATTTAGTTACAACAAAAAATTTTTAAGCAGCCAAATTTAAAATATTATATAATATATTAAACTTGCAATTTTATTGGTTAGATTTATATAGTTTAGTTTAGATTATAATTTTTAATTTTGACCAGACTTATATATATTTTGGATATTGCTAAATCTCATTGCAGGTGATTTTTACTGCATCAGCATTAGCAAATATTGATGGGTAAAGTTTCATGATATTTTTAATTCTGCTCAAAATTCTATTCTAATTCTGATAAAGTAACAATTATCAATGATGATATTTAGCAATACTTATATATTTTTAGCTAAATTTATATAGTTAAAAGTGATTTAGCCAGATTTACATATAATTTTAATCAGAGTAAAGTGGCCAAAATATTTAATTTAATAGTAAAATATTCTAATTTTGAATTGTTATTACTTTATTAAAAAACATTTTATAAAAAATTTAAAATTATAACTTTATTAAAATTGTTTTATTTTATCATTGTATGATTATACTTTATATTTATCATTTTTTTTAAGTAAGTAGACTAGTAGTAATTTAAATTTTATCAATTTTAGTTGTTATAACTAAGTTGTATATATTGTATAAAAAATGTTTTTTATAAAAAATATTAGATTTTTTTAAACAATTAAGTAAACTAATTTATATAAAATTAAATATAATTAAAAAATGTATTAGTATTTTATAAATAACCTACTTTTCTTATTTTTGCCAAACGATTAAATTTAAACAAATACTTTATATTAAATACTATTGGTCAATTATCTTTATTATATATTTAAATTTTTATTATAATTCTTTTTCCTTTAATTTTCTTGTATTATATAATATTAAATAAAACTATTTATTAAAATGTCTTTATTTTAATATTTCTTTTTATTTTTTTTTTTAAAAGATGCTAGCATTTTTGAATAAATTAATAAAATATATTAAGATAAAAAGAAAAAAATATTGGTATTTTTAATTAAAAAATATTTATAATATTTTTTTATAAAAATAATCAGAATTTTTAGATAAGTTAATAGATAAAGGAAAGGTATTACAGCATTCTGTTTTAATTAAAAAATATTTCTAATAATATCTTTTTATAAGAATATGCTAGCTATACAATTATACCAGATGGGTTTTTTATAACTTTTTTTTGTGCTTTTATAATTTTTTAAATAATTAGTAAAATTTATATTAATAGGAAATAAAAAAAATTAATATTACTAATAGTATTTTTAATAAATATATAAATACTTATACATTTAACTATTTGATTTGATAAAAGCTAAATAAGATAAAAAAAAGGGTAGATTTTTGTAATTAACAATAGGTCTTCAATCAACTTTGACCGGCATTAAAAGTAAAATTAACCATATAGGAAGTAGTTAGCCTAATTTATCTTATTCATATCTTTTCGCCTGTACAAAAAAAAACAAAATAAAGATGAAAAGTGACGGGAACAAATTCATTTTCGGTAAATACGGTACATTTTAACGAATTCATACATGATGCATATTTATTTGGAAAACTATAATCAATGTCTTTTTTTTTGATTACTCCCGTCTGGCCGTACATCTTGAGCAATGAAGGACTGAAACATAAAGAAAACTGTGGTATTCTCAACGCAATTATCCAAATTTAGCAAATTTAAAACAATATTTACTCGACTTTTATTGTAATTTATTAATAAAGATAATAAGTTATTCTAAATTAGTTTTAATAAAGCTATATGTAAATTTAGTAATTAATTATTGCAATTAAATTTAAGTCACAAGCTGCAGATTTCTGCTGGTCATTGATAAAATATTTGGATTGGATAATCTAGTACAAATTTTGTGTATACAGATTTTAATAGATATAAATAAGAATCCTCTCTCCCCCCCAGATTTCACACTCAAATACGAAAAAAAAATAGTCATGTCTGACACTGTTCATCAAGTTCCTTCGCGTCTTTTAGACTCTTCAAAATGTCCTAAACCTCATATCGATTCCTTTGAGAAATATAAAAAAATTTATGAAGAGAGTATCAAGGACCCTCAAGCATTCTGGGGAAAAGTAAGTGTTAACATTAGTTCAAATATATTTTATTGTATAGATATTAATCAAATTTAAATTATTAATAGCAAGCCAAGGAACTTCTACATTGGCATAAACCTTTCGAAACTGTTCTGACTGGCGGACTTGAGCATGGGGATGTAGCTTGGTTCCGTGAAGGTGAATTGAATGCTTCTTATAATTGTATTGATAGACACGCTCTTGCCAATCCCGATAAGGTAATTTTCGAATTTCTTAAACATATCCTTTGCATTGATATGTATTAATGTTTTTTTCGTGTCGGTACTTACTATTATAATAGGTTGCAATTATTCATGAAGCTGATGAACCAGGAAATTCTCGTCGTATAACTTACGGAGAATTATTACATGAAGTTAGTCGTCTTGCCAATACCTTAAAGTCATTAGGATTAAAGAAAGGTGATACAGTGGCCATTTATATGCCCATGATTCCTGAAGCTGCGGTAGCATTCTTGGCATGTGCAAGATTAGGCCTAGTCCATTCTGTTGTATTTGCCGGATTCTCTTCTGAAGCATTACGTAGTCGTATTATCGATGCCTCAAGTAAACTAGTTATTACAGCTGATGAAGGAAGACGTGGGGGTAAAACCATCCACACAAAAAAGATCGTTGACGTTGCATTAGAAGGATGTTCTACGGTTGAGCACGTACTCGTATTTCGTCGTACCGGATCTGAAGTTCCATTCTCTGCTCCGCGTGATTTATGGTGGCATGAGGAATTGGAAAAACATCGACCCTATTGTCCACCTGAAATTGTTAATGCAGAAGATCCACTGTTTTTACTTTATACTTCAGGGTCAACAGGAAAACCTAAAGGTGTTGTTCATGCTACAGCAGGATATTTACTGGGAGCGGCAATTACTTTTAAATATACTTTTGACTATCAAGAAAATGATGTTTATGGATGTATGGCAGATATTGGATGGATTACAGGACATACTTATATCATATATGGGCCATTACTAAATGGGGCCACAACAGTATTATTCGAGTCCACACCAGTCTATCCTACAGCAAGTAGATATTGGGAAGTTGTTGCTCAACATAAAATTACTCAATTATATACTGCACCAACTGCAATTAGATTATTAAGAAGATTTGGTAATGATTATGTTAAAGGTCATGATTTATCTAGTCTTAGAATTATTGGTTCCGTAGGGGAACCGATTAATCCTGAAGCTTGGGAATGGTATTATGAAGTAGTAGGAAGAAAAGAATGTTCAGTAGTTGATACTTATTGGCAGACGGAAACCGGTTCTATCGTCCTCACACCTCTACCGGGAGCAACTCCAATGAAACCAGGTTCTGCTACTTTCCCATTCTTTGGTATTGAACCTGCAGTATTAGAAGCCGAAACAGGAAAAGAACTTGAAGGGAATGATGTCGAAGGAGTTTTGGTAATTAAAAATCCTTGGCCTTCGATGGCAAGAACCGTTTATAATAATCATCATAGATATATGGATACTTATTTAAATGTTTATAAAGGTTATTATTTCACTGGGGATGGAGTTGGTAGAGATCATGATGGTTTTTATTGGATTAGAGGTCGTGTAGATGATGTTATTAGTGTCTCAGGTCATCGCTTATCTACTGCTGAAATTGAATCTGCTTTAATTTCACATCAATCTGTTGCAGAAGCTGCTGTAATTGGTGTACATGACGATTTAACAGGTCAATGTGTACATGCTTTTTGTACCCTTAAACCTGATCAAGGTGGAACTGATGTTAGCGAATTGGTTTTACAAGTTAGGAAAGTTATTGGACCTTTTGCTGCTCCAAAGAAGATTTATATTTCTAGTGATTTACCTAAAACTCGTAGTGGTAAAATTATGAGGCGTGTTCTTAGAAAAATTGTTTCTGGAGAAACCAATCAATTAGGTGATTTAAGTACTTTAGCTGATCCTTCTATTATTCCTGTTTTAATTGATATTGTTCAAAAATCATAAATTTTTGTAAAATCATGTGTTTATTAGTTTATTGTACGATTATATTTATATATTTCATTTACCTATCTCAATTAAACATGTTGAATTTCGTTCTTTTGGCTACTGAAAGTCGTTTATTTTGGTTTTTATTAAATAAATTACTATAATTTTAATACAATTTTTTTTTGTAATTATACAAACACAAGCTAAAGGATCTAATTATAAAATAAATAAAGAAAAAATTTTGGTAATAGACAATATGTCTATTATAATAAATAAATTTCAAATAAAAAATAGTAACTTAATTACATCAAATTACCCGGAAAAAAATAAATATTAGAAATTACTAAAGAAATTTTTTAAAAAAAATAAAAAAAATAAAAATAAATTATATACAGTTATTCTCAATTCCAAACTTTGTAACCAGACAAGCATGAAAATAAGAATTAACTTTTAACAAATGTGTTTTCACTCAACTAAAGAAAAAGAAGAAAAGACATACAAAATATTATTCATCATTATTTCCTTCTTCAGCCCAATTACCATATTCATCATCATCATCATCATCATCATCATCTAAAAGCTTAACGTAATTTTCAGGTATTAAACCAGTTTCTTCGCCTAAATTAGCCATTAACCAACCATCATATTGTCGACATTGCACCAAAAGAATATCTCCTTCATGAAAACTTAATTCACTCGAATTTTCTGCTACAAAATCATATAATGCACGTGCACGTCTATTAACATATTCACTATCTTCTTCTTCTTCCTCCTCTTCAATAATTTTTTGGCCCCAATGTCGAGGATCATCTGTAGGAAATGCAAAATCCCGAATTTTTATTTCAGGATATATGCTGTTAACAATATCTTCTCCTTCTCCTTCTTCTTCATTAGTTAAGGTAATGTTAGATACTACATGAACAATAAACGAATTGAAATAAATTAGAATAAATTTGCTAATCTTTAAACCATACAAAATAAATTATTTAACATTCTGAATAATTTTTAATAAGGTTTCATAATAATCTATCTCGTACAAATTACTTGACAAAGGTGGAACTGCCTATGCTCAAAGAAACTAAAATTTTATTTGTATGGCATAACAAAGAAAATAAAAAGAATTTTTAAAATTTACCTTTTGCGCACTATAATGAATTAATTCAATATATAAAGATGTTAAAAACATGTTTTTATTAAAAAAAAAAAGAGAGAAAATTAAAATCAGAGATTTACCGAGCGTGGCCGTTCCTTTTGTGCTTCTTCTGATTCATCATAATCCTTTCCACCACCATAAAATTCGGCCAAAGTTTCTGAAATTTTGCTTAGAAGTTCTTTATTAGGCATATCATCTAATTCTTCTTTACTATTAGAATTAACATTATTACTTTTATTATTACTTTTATTGTTATTAGTATTATTATTATTATTACTATTATCTATAGAATTTTGATCGTTCCCATTCGTCATGGCAACAGTCTTGATATCAGTTCCGTTTGTTATTACCATTGGTTGTACTTCTGAAATTTTTTTATCAATTGGCTGGGGATTATCATTATCATTATTTTCATTATTATTTTTATTATCATTACCAACATTTTTGTCAATTAAACTTGCAGCCGTGGTATCTTTAACATTTTTATTACTCTTAGTAACATCTATTAAAAAGTTTTTTGATAATTTATTTTAATATCGATTGGCGTTTTTATAAAAAAAAAGATTTTCTTTTGAAAAAAATTATTATTTTTACCTTTTGGAGTATCAATAAATTGTTTATGTTGCTGAATTCCAATGTCAAGTGTAGTGGGCGATTCTTGTTTCATTTTTGAAATATTCTTTTTATTTATTTTTCTCTTTTTTTTTTCCTAAAAAAAAAAAGCGAGAATATTTAAGAAAAAATTTATAAAAGGCAAATGACAATAAAATTAATTGTAATAAAACGGTTATTTGTAACACACAACTCATGAAATGAAAAATAATTTGTTTGATCTACAAATTACATCTAAAGTCGTGTAACCTTGTTAATACAACGGATGATTCTCATAATCGTAAATATCTCCTTGCACAAAAGGATGTGGGAGCATGAAACGATCAACTATTTATGTTGATAAAAAAGGGTATTTTAAATAACACAAACAATATTTTTATTAAAATTTAGGTTGCATTGTTGTTAGAAAACCTAAACTATATGGCGTGTTACGCAATCAAATATATCAGCGGCAGGGAACTAAGCCAAAGAACTTCTAGTGTATTATATATTAATTCCTGATGCCTAAAAGTTGCTCCGCATCGAATTCTTTTAATTCTTTTTAATGTGGCGGTAATCAAAAAGTAATCGGCAGATGATGTTAACTTTACAAACAAGAGTCTAAATATAAAATTATGATAACAACTGATTCGGAAAAATGGACTCTAGCCTAAGAATTATTATTTGTTGATCCATGATTTATAAATATTAAAGTCTAGGCATCAATGCATTATGGGTTTATGACACAAAGAAAAGGGAGACAAAGTCACACACATATTTGCGTTACCTATTACAAGTCTTCGCCTCTTCGGTTGATCGTAATTTAAATATAATATAAGTAAATATGTAGGTTTACAATTCCTAATTTCCATTTATCAATTATATTTAATAATAAACTACGATCATTATTTCTATTCTATTACTGCAATATTTTGAGTAAATGAAACTCTCGACTAACCCTTTGGTCCCGATATATAAAAAAATTTGAATGTACACAAATTAATTTATCCAAAATTTCTTGTATCCCAGAACCATTTAATTTATTATATTTTTAATTGTTCAAGGTTCTCTAATGAAGCCCAGATATTTATTTTGTAAGTTTAATTTAATGTTCTTATAGCTTCATGATGATTTCTTTAAATGTACTAGACTGTGAACGATGATGAAAGAGGACAAATAAATATTGTTAATTCCTCCTTTCATAACTTTATATAATATTTAATAAGACTTTGAACACATTTTGGTAATAATTCAGGTGTTGTTTCTAATTTCCAATGAATTCCAATGTATGATGAAGATAATTTATCTTTTATTTTTTGAGCTTCATTTAATATATAATCATTATAAGGTATAACTGGCATATTTGAGGAAACAAAGGATTAACTACATTTCCATTCGCTAATATAATTTCTTCGATTGGGAGAACTTTGGTAAGTAATTCGGAAAATTTAACTCAAGATTTTTCCTTCTCAGGTCCATTTCTTTAATAATCATTTTTGCATATTAATTACTCTGGAATTAGGATCTTTGATATTTATCAATGATTCGAATTTTGAAATACATTCATGTACAACAAAATTTGGTTCTGCGTTATCATATTTTAATACTAGAATGTAATATTGATATAATTTTGTTATCGTTGTTATTTTACTGTATCCTCTTAATTTGATCACATTCTTTAAGCCCAAAATGAAATCGCTTTCTGAATCAAATAAAGCATTAGGAAATTCTTTTCGAAATAAATTGGTATTATAATAAAAATCAAACGGAAATTTGAACTAGTTATATATACCAAAATAAAAGAAGTTATAAATAACCGTATCATATTTTTTTTCTATTTCTTTCATACCAAAAAGATGGCATCACAACTGAATTCACAGAAAAAAATATATTTGGAGTCAAAAATTATTTTTAATATTGTAATATGCTTTCCCAAACTCTCGTGACATAAAGATATTGCAAAGAACCCACGTACCGTATAAACTTATGTAACAGAACTTTCGATTTTTCATATAACCAGAATTATAAAATTTTTAATGTTTTCATGTTCGTATAGTAGCATATCATGGAATAATTCTAGAGGTGTTATTGCCAAAAAAAAAAAGATTTTTCTAAAGTTTATGATAAATCTGATATCATTTTTTTTTTTTTTTGACAAAGCATATATCATATGTGCAGAGTGTATATATACAGTATGCTGCATAATGTATCATGACGTAGGATAAACTGAAAGATTTTGATTAGAAACCTTCCAATCGGTTGATCGAAACTTAATTTTGCAAATGTAAAATATCTTTGTTAATAATGACGTAAATATATGTTCAGTTAAAATATTTGATATTTTCGTTTTCTGGATAATCCAGGAAAATCAAAAGTAATATTTTCTTGCCAATCCTGAACAATCGCCAATAGAAAAAGAGGTCTGGTTCATTTCACCGACAGTTTTGAATCTTGATCCACTGATCCTTAGCTCTATTCTAACCTTAATTTCTTTACCTAACCCTAGCTCTAAACCGATGATCGTCGGCGAAACATTGTGACTATTTGTTGGTGAGATAATTTTCGGTGAATGATTGTTGGTGAAATGAAAGCAATCCTAGAAACTAGAAAAAGTTATTATTTGAAATATCATTTTATATATTTGAATTTAACGGACGTTCCGACCAAGAGAGAAGGTTATTTGACTCCTTAAATTCTTTCATGAAGGATTTTTATGATAATATAAAATTACAACGTCATTTATATCAGATATAATATTCTTAGAGTAATAAGCTGCATGAAAACAAGATTTAATATTAAATAAATAGCCACAGTGATGCTTAAGTCCTATTATTAAGAAAGTGGATAGATGTTTTTAGATGGGGGCTCAACACTTCGAATTATTGCTTTTTCCATGCATGGATAATCGTTCCGGTCTTGAGGCAAAAAAAGAGAAATTTGTGATATTCTACTTGTATTAAAAATATTCGAATGCATATGACTAGTATTGCTGTAGAGTTCTATTTTAAACGAAACGATGAAGGAAAATATGGTCAGGATGGTTTTATTTGAATTAGATTAGTAGGTGGTTCATTCCGACAAGCTTTCTGAGCATCTTTTGAATTAGCCGGACGAAGTAATTTTGTTATGAAAAAAACAATAATTTATTATGATTATATTTAATAATTTACAAATAAATTCTCCATCTATCAATTATATTTAATAAACTATAGTCTTTATCTTTTATTCTATTTCTTCTTTCATCCGCAATAGTTTTGGTAAATGTAGATACAACTCTTGAGCAACCTTTTGGACCCGATACAAAATAATTTGAATTCATACAAACTAGTTTATCCAAAATTCCTTGTATCCCAGAACCATTTAATTCTTTATCATATTTATCATTTTTTCTTAATTGTTCCAGACCTCCTAATGAAACCCAGGTATTTATTTTAAAAGTTTCATTTAATGTTCTTATAGCATCATGATGATAATTAGTGATTTCTTTAAATGTACTAGATTGTGATCTTGATGATAAAAGGGGATAATCTGTTGCCAAGTAAATATTTTTAATTCCTTCTTCCTTCATAACTTTATTTAATGTTTTAATAAGACCTTGAACACATTTTGGTAATAATTCAGGTGTTGAACGTTCTAATCTCCAATGAATTCCAATATAAGAAGAAGATAATTTATCTTTTATTTTTTGAGCTTCATTTAATATATGATCGCTATAAGGTATAACTGGCATAATTTGAGGAAACAAAGGAAAAATTACATATCCATTCACTAGTAAAATTTCTTCATCAATCGTGAGGACTTTAGTAAGTAATTCGGAAGATTTAACTCGAGATTTTTCCGTTTTCAAGTCAGTTGTTCTGATAAACAATTTTGTATATTTTACTCTGGAATTATTGGAATCTTTAGTATTCATTAATGGTTCGAACTTAGAAATACATTCATGTTTATCAAAATTTGTTACTGCATTATCATAAAATGTTTTCATATTAGTATTTTTATGATGTAATTTAATGCTAGAGTGTAATATTGATAATGGTGGTATAACTTTGTTATCGTTATTATTTATCTTCCTTTTAATTTGATCACGTTCTTTAAGCCAAAAAATGAAATCATTTTCTGATTTAAATAAAACATTAGGAAATTCTTTTTGAAGTAAATTGGTATTATAATAAAAATCAAACGGAAATTTATTACAAGTACCAATTCGAGAAGAACCAACATTTGTTAAAATCATTATACGATTTAATTTTTCAGCCAATTGACTAAATGATCGAAAATGTAAATTCGCTTTAGTTTCTTGTTCTCCAAGAGAATAAACAAACAAAAATTTGCATGTGGGTTTACCACAGTATTTTTTGTTTAGCTCTTCTAATGGATTTCTATCATCATCAGTTATGGTTGTATTTGATGATAACGTTAATGGTGATGTAAGATGAACTTCTGTAAGCGTTTCTTCGTTCTATTTAATAACAAATTATTTAATTAATAAACATTCGAATACATTAGGGAGAATATTCAATAAAATTTATTTACTTTATTTGATAATAATTCTTTTTGTTCAAAATAAAAAGAACTACTTATATACCACAATAAAAAGAAAAAACAAATTAACAGAAATGAATTTCTTGTTATTTGGCTCAAAGACATTATTTTCTGTAAAGAATTCAATTGTGATGCCATCTTTTCTAATACCAAGTTATAAACTGAATTAACTTTCTATTTAAACCATTTTCGACAAAGAAAAATAAATGATATATAAATCAATATACTACGATCCATGTTGTTAATTGTTTGTTTATTTTCTTAACATATAAAACTCAATCACATCTGTATAAAAATAATTAATGCTTTCTACATAGTAAATGAAAAAGTAATACATAGTTAAAAAATAAATAATAATTTGACTTTTTTTGTTCAACCAATAGTCAATATACTATAATATTAACCAAAATAATTTAATTTCATTTCCGAATAAAGGAAAAGAATAATGACAAATATTTTAATTATTTACCGTAATAAACTTTTTTTTTTTGAAATAAAATTTTGTCTCAAATAGTCAATCCATTTGAAAATTAAATTTTGTTTTATAAACAATAATTTTTTTTATTAATTTGTAACCTTTAATTCAATGATATTCTGGTTTTGACTTCCATTCAATCATGCATTCATTTTTGGTTTTGATCATTGAATCATTATTATGTTTGTTGATTGTATCACCATTTTCATTATTTCTACCGTACGAAACGGAATGTTTATTCCTTCTATCATTGTGATTGGCTTATTTTATTTTATAAACAATAATTTACAAATTTTGATCGACCCGTTATGATTGCCTTGTTAAATTCCTTTATTTATAAGAGAAAGAGAATTGAAAAGGGGAAAAATGATACGGTTATTTATAGCAACAATTATTTTAAACTCTCGTGATACATGGATATTGCAGCAAAGAAATCCATGTACCAAACTAATTTATAATAAAATGTTAAATCCTTTGATTTTATATAACCAGAATTATAAATAAATTTAATTCATCTGTACAGCACGTAAAAAAAGAATGGTTTTTAGGTGTGTTACTGTCAATTTTCTAAAGTTTATGCTAAAAGTAAATTTAAAAATTTTTTTTTTTTTGTCAAAGCATCTATGCATATATATGTATACATTAAGGTAACATCATCAGGAAATTTTTTACATGGAAATCCGCATCAAATATTGTGGAAATATGTGATAGTTCCAATATTTTCCAAATACCCCTATCGGCGTAGATCCAAATTCGAGGATTAAAATATGTGGATCATATATGGGAATGCACATATTTCTGAACTAATTCATATGGAATTAGTACATGGATCGATTTACCTAAAAAGTTTCATGACGGTAGAATAAAAGATTTCGATTATAAACCTTCTAATCAGTTGAGGGTGCTACTCATTTAGTTTGTTTGTTCAGTTAAAAATATTGATATTTTTTTTCGTCATAATCCTCCTTGTATTTAAAAATCTTCAAATTCATATGCATAAATATGATATATATATAAGCTTTTCTATATATACAAAATACAAAGCTACTGTTGATAAACGAAACGATGAAGAAAACAAGTCATTTATTGATAAGATAATTTTATTGAATTAGATTATTTAGTAGGTGTGTTTATCTTGGGTCTATAGTAATTAATAATAAAAGCTGCTAAAAGAGTTGCGGCAAGCTTTTCTGAGCTTGCTGGATCAATCTTTTAACAGGACCAAATTAATTTAATATGAGTAATAATGGATAAAGTAGTAAAAATCTATTTCGTTAATAATTAATCTAAAAATTTACAAATGAATTTCCCATCTATCAATTATATTCAATAAACCACTATCTTTATTTTTTATTCTATTACTTCTTTTATCCGCAATAGCTCTGGTAAATGATGAAGATCTCGAGCAACCTTTTGGACCTGATATAAAATAATTTGAATTCACACACACTAATTTATCCAAAATTCCTTGTATCCCGGAACCACTTAATTCTTTATTATATTTATCATTTTTTCTTAATTGTTCCAGACCTCCTAATGAAACCCAGGTATTTATTTTAAAAGTTTCATTTAATGTTCTTATAGCATCATGATGATAATTAGTGATTTCTTTAAATGTACTAGATTGTGATCTTGATGATAAAAGGGGATAATCTGTTGCCAAGTAAATATTTTTAATTCCTTCTTCCTTCATAACTTTATTTAATGTTTTAATAAGACCTTGAACACATTTTGGTAATAATTCAGGTGTTGAACGTTCTAATCTCCAATGAATTCCAATATAAGAAGAAGATAATTTATCTTTTATTTTTTGAGCTTCATTTAATATATGATCGCTATAAGGTATAACTGGCATAATTTGAGGAAACAAAGGAAAAATTACATATCCATTCACTAGTAAAATTTCTTCATCAATCGTGAGGACTTTAGTAAGTAATTCGGAAGATTTAACTCGAGATTTTTCCGTTTTCAAGTCAGTTGTTCTGATAAACAATTTTGTATATTTTACTCTGGAATTATTGGAATCTTTAGTATTCATTAATGGTTCGAACTTAGAAATACATTCATGTTTATCAAAATTTGTTACTGCATTATCATAAAATGTTTTCATATTAGTATTTTTATGATGTAATTTAATGCTAGAGTGTAATATTGATAATGGTGGTATAACTTTGTTATCGTTATTATTTATCTTCCTTTTAATTTGATCACGTTCTTTAAGCCAAAAAATGAAATCATTTTCTGATTTAAATAAAACATTAGGAAATTCTTTTTGAAGTAAATTGGTATTATAATAAAAATCAAACGGAAATTTATTACAAGTACCAATTCGAGAAGAACCAACATTTGTTAAAATCATTATACGATTTAATTTTTCAGCCAATTGACTAAATGATCGAAAATGTAAATTCGCTTTAGTTTCTTGTTCTCCAAGAGAATAAACAAACAAAAATTTGCATGTGGGTTTACCACAGTATTTTTTGTTTAGCTCTTCTAATGGATTTCTATCATCATCAGTTATGGTTGTATTTGATGATAACGTTAATGGTGATGTAAGATGAACTTCTGTAAGCGTTTCTTCGTTCTATTTAATAACAAATTATTTAATTAATAAACATTCGAATACATTAGGGAGAATATTCAATAAAATTTATTTACTTTATCTGATAATAATTCTTTTTGTTCAAAATAAAAAGAACTAATTATATACCACAATAAAACGAAAAAACAAATTAACACAAATTTTCTCGTTATTTGACTCAAAGACATTTTTTTTCAGGGAAGAATTCAGTTGTGGTGTTTTCTTTTTGAAAGAGTAATAAACAAAGTCAACATTCTATTTAAGCCTTTTTAACAAATAAAATAAAAATGCTATTTAAATTCGTAATGTATGTTGTTAATTCGGTTACTCATTTCTTGGCAATATCTGCAGTACAACTATAATTATGCAGTAAATGAAAAAGTATTGGTTAAGAAAATTAAAAATATTTTGACATTCTTTATATTTGTTTTTTAATACTATTGCCAATAAAAAAAAAAAGCATTTCTTTTTTTATCCTTTTGTACTAAAAGTAGAGTTAACCAATGTGCTTTATTAACTAAAATAATTCAAGAAAAAAAAAAAATAAATAAATGTTATATGAGGGTCTTAACACGCATATGGTGTAACGTTGGATTTATCAAGGTTCACCTAATTGTTAAATTGTTGCCCACATTTTTGTTTTTGATATTATTGTATTTATATTTATTGTATCACCATTTTCATTGTTTAATAATTCATGTACGTCGGAATTTTCAATTATGAACCATTTCTCTGTTAAATTTTCTTTATTTCATAAGAAAAAGGGAATTAAAAGGAAAAAAAAGATACTGTTATTTGTAACAATTATTATTGCTCATGTACCCATAAATATATAAAATCAAGTGTAAAAGATCTTTGATTTTTATATAACCAAAATTATATATTTTTAGTTTCATTTTCGTATACCAATATATTACGTAAAAAAAAGAATGGTTTATTGGTAATGCTTCGACCCGGGCGAACCGCCATCCGGATTAATTAATAATTTATGCGCAACATTTTATACAAGCCATTAATTGTTAAATCTGATCATTGATTTCAGAAATATTTTAAATTTGACGAACCGTACACGGATCGAAGAACTACTGTATTTAAAGTGTGTTAAAGATTTTTCTAAAGTTTATGCTAAATCTGATATTTGCCATACAAAGTAAAATTAGATTTTAATTTTTTTTTTTTTGCTAAAGCAACTATGCATATAATGCATACTAATATATCTTGACGTATTAGAATAAAAGATTTCGATTCCAGTAATCGGTTGATCGAAAATTGGTGCTACTCATCTGGTTATAAATGCATATTCAGTTAAAATATTCTTTACTTTTTCACTTATTTATCATGAATAAATCACTACTAGAAAATTGATTATTTCCTCCCAATTTTTTAACGGATGCAGAAGATTATCCGACTTTAGATCCTTTTGTTAGTTGTAACCCAACACCTCGAATTATTATTACAAAAAGAAAGAATAATTGGACCTATAGTAATGAAGGCTGCTGAAGGAGTTGCGGCAAACTTTTTGAGCTTGTTGACTCAATCTTTTAATTATAAAGTTAATTTAATATAATTTATTAATAATTAAATTAAGGAATTTCCCATCTATCGATTACATTTAATAAATCACTATCTTTATTTTTTGTCCTATTACTTCTTTCATCTGCAATTGTTTTGGTAAATGAAGATGCAATTCTCGAGCAACCTTTTGGACCTGATATAAAATAATTTGAATTTACACAAACTAGTTTATCCAAAATTCCTTGTATCCCAGAACCATTTAATTCTTTATTATATTTTTTATTTTCTCTTAATTGTTCCAGACCTCCTAATGAAACCCAGGTATTTATTTTAAAAGTTTCATTTAATGTTCTTATAGCATCATGGTGATAATTAGTGATTTTTTTAAATGTACTAGATTGTGATCTTGATGATAAAAGGGGATAATCTGTTGCTAAGTAAATATTTTTAATTCCTTCTTCTTCCTTAATTTTATTCAATGTTTTAATAAGACCTTGAACACATTCTGGTAATAATTTAGGTGTTGAAGATTCTAATCTCCAATGAATTCCAATATATGAAGAAGATAATTTATCTTTTATTTTTTGAGCTTCATTCAATATATAATCACTATAAGGTATAACTGGCATAGTTTGAGGAAACAAAGGATCAACTACTTTTCCATTCACTAATAAAATTTCTTCATCGATTGTGAGGACTTTAGTAAGCAATTCGGACAATTTAACTCGAGCTATTATCGATCTCATATCAGTTGTTCTGATAATCATTTTTGTATATTTTACTCTGGAATTAGTAGGATCTTCGAGATTCATTAATGGTTTGAATTTTGAAATACAATTATATACATCAAAATTTGTTTCTGCATCATCATAAAATGTTTTCTCAGTATTTCTAGATCTTTTAATACTAGAATGTAATATTGATAATGGTGGTATGATTTTGTTATTGTTATTATTCATCATCCTTTTAAGTTGATCACGTTCTTTAAGCCAGAAAATGAAATCATTTTCTGATTTAAATAAAACATTAGGAAATTCTTTTTGAAGTAAAGTGATATTGTAATAAAAATCAAATGGAAATTCGTTACAAGTACCAATTCGAGAAGAACCAACATTTGTTAAAACCATTATACGATTTAATTTTTCAGCCAATTGACTAAATGATCGAAAATGTAAATTCGCTTTCGTTTCTTGTTCTCCAATAAGATAAACAAACAAAAATTTACATGTGGGTTTACCACAATATTTTTTGTTTAGTTCTTCTAATTGATTTTTATTATTATCATCATCAGTTATGATAGTTTTGTTTGTATTTGATGTAAGATGAACTCCTGTAAGTGTTTCTTCATTCTATTTAATAACAAATTATTTAATTAATAAACATTCGAATACATTAGGGAGAATTTTCAATAAAATTTATTTACTTTATCTGATAATAATTCTTCTTGTTCAAAATAAAAAGAACTAATTATATACCACAATAAAACGAAAAAACAAATTAACACAAATTTTCTCGTTATTTGACTCAAAGACATTTTTTTTCAGGGAAGAATTAAGTCGTAATGTTATCTTTTTGAAAGGTAAAAGTAATAAACCCTTCCATATATTTAAGCCTTTTTAATAAATAAAATAAAAAGAATTATATAAATTCGTAATGTTTTACGATCCATGTTGTTTCGGTTTATTTTGTTTATTCATTTCATGACAACCGTAATTAATGCTTATTAATTTGTAGTAAATGAAACAGTATTGTTTTTTTTTTGAAATTAATGTTTATTAATTTGCAGTAAGTGAAAAAGTATTGACTATAGTATTTGTTTTTTTTGAAATTGCACACAAGTAAAAAAAACAATTCTTTTTTTTCTATCCTTATGTACTAAAAGTAGTAGTTAACCAATAATAAATAATTCGAGAAAAAAATAATGTTTTAAGGAAGGTCTTTAATGCATATAGTGTAACGTTAGATTTATTACTAATAATAATAATGGATATTATTATGTATGTAATGTCACTCTAATTGTCCCTTTTGTTTATTTGGCTTATCGTAGTAACCATTTTTTAATTTTTTTTTAAAAAAGATTGTATTCTCTAATTTCTCTAATTCATTATTATATTTGTATCCCCATTTTCATTATCTGTTATTTAATAATTCATATATCGTACGAAACAGAATCGGAGTGTTTATTCCTTCTATCCTCGTGATTGGATTCTTTTTCAGTTATAAAAAATCTCTTTATTATATTTTCTTTATTCATAGGAAAATGAGAATTAAAAAAGGAAAAAAAAATAAGATAAGGTTATTTATAGCAACTATTATTTAAACCACTCGTGATATAAGGATTTGAAAGAGCCATGTACTACCAAATAAATATATAAAGCAAATGTAATAGATTTTTCGATTTTTATATACAACCACGATTATATTTTAATAAGTTTTTATCTTCGTATAGTAATATATTACGTAAAAAAAGAATGGTTAATAGGTGTGTTACTGTTAAAAAAAAAAAAAGATTTTCTAAAGTTTATGCTAAATCTGATATTTGCCATATAAAGTAAAATTTAAATTCTACGCGTATATATACACATTATATATATATTGCTGCATAATATATCTTATAGTATAATAAAATCAAACTTTCCCAATCGGTTGATCGAAACTTAATTTTGCTGATTAAAATTTTGTGCTGCTCGTAAAGACGCAAATGTAAAATATTCTTCACTTATTTATCATGGATGAGTCGCTACTAGAAAGTGATTGATTTTGAATTCATTTTTTAACGGATACCTTGACGAGATTTCTCCCTTATCAGGTCCATTTCTTTAATAATCATTTTTGTATATCTTACTCTGAAATTAGGATCTTTAAGATTCATTAATGATTCGAATTTTGAAATACATTCATATACATCAAAATTTGGTTCTGCGTCATCATAAAATGTTTTCTCATCACTTCTATTTATTTTAATACTAGAATGTAATATTGATAATGGTGGTATGATTTTGTTATTATTATTCATTATCTTTTTAATTTGATCACGTTCTTTAAGCAAAAAAATGAAATCATTTTCTGATTTAAATAAAACATTAGGAAATTCTTTTTGGAGTAAAGTGATATTATAATAAAAATCAAATGGAAATTCATTACAAGTACCAATTTGAGAAGAACCAACATTTGGTAAAACCAATATACGATTTAATTTTTCAGCCAATTGACTAAATGTAAATTCGCTCTCGTTTCTTGTTCTCCAATAATATAAACAAATAAAAATTTTACATATGGGTTTACCACAATATTTTTTGTTTAGTTCTTCTAATTGGTTTTTATTGCTATCATCATCATCAACTATATTAGTTATGGTTGTGTTCGATGACAATGTTGTAGTGAAGTAAGATGAACTTCTTTCTATAAGTGTTTCTTCGTTCTATTTAATAACAAATTATTGAGTTAATAAATATTTGAAGAATTATCAAATATATTTACTTTATCTGATAATAATTCTTCTTGTTCAAAATAAAAAGAACTAATTATATACCACAATAAAAAGAAAAAACAAATTAACACAAATTTTCTCGTTATTTGACTCACCCTAAAAAAAAGTTTGTGCTAAATTTGTGCCAAATGGGTTAATCATACGATATTTGTTTAGAATTTGTTCGAATTTTATATTATTTTTTAGTACAAATTTGGAATAAATGTTGTATGATTAGCCCGTTTGGCACAAATTTAGCACAAACCTTTTTTATAGGGATCAAAGACATTTTTTTTCTGTAAAGAATTCGGTCGTGGTGGTGTTATCTTCTTGAAAAGTAAGAGTAGTCAATCTTCTATATATTTAAGCCTTTTAACAAATAAAATAAAAAATGCTATCTAAATTCGTAATGTTTAACGATCCATGTTGTTAATTCATTCTATTTTGTTCATTCATGTTCTTCAGTACAACCATACTAATTAATGTTTATTATGCAGTAAATGAAAAAATATTGACTAAAAAAATTTAACCATAATTTGACATCTTTTGTATTTGTTTTTTAATATTGCACAAGTAAAAAAAAAACATTTCTTTTTTTTCTATCCTTATGTACTGAAAGTAGTAATTAAAATAATTCAATATAGTGTAACGTTATATAATAAGTGGATATCATGTAATGTTATTCTTTTTACTTCTGAAAAATTATATTGTCTAACATTCCTTTTGTTTATTTTCTTTAGGGGTGGCTTATTATAGTAACCACTTTTAAAAATAACTGAATTTTGATGTAAACCAATAACTTTTCTTAAAAAAAATTGTATTCTCTAATTTCTCTAATTAGTTATTTTTTTATCATGTTATACGCTCATATACCATTTTTGGTTTTAATTCATTATTATATTTATTGTATCACCATTTTCATTATTTAATGAATCGGAATATTTATTCTATCCTCGTGATTGGATTCATTTCAATTATAAACAATTTCCTTCTTTATTTCATAAGAAAATGAGAATTAAAAAAGGAAAAAAAAAGATAAGGTTATTATAGCAACTATTATTTTAAACCACTCGTGATATAAGGATTTTGAAAGCGCCCACATACCACATAAATATATAAAGCAAATATAATAGATTTTTCGATTTTTATATACAACCACAATAATTATATGTTTTTAATTAAGTTTTTCATAAAAAAAGAGTGGTTAGGTGTGTTACTGCCAAAAAAAAAAAAAAAAAGGTTTTCTAAAGTTTATGCTAAATCTGATATTTGCCATATAAAGTAATTTAAAATTTTTTTTTTTTTGCCAAAGTATCTACACACATTATATATTGCTGCATAATATATCTCGATATGTAGAATAAAAGATTAAACAAACTTTCCCAATCGGTTGATCGAAACTTAACGTTAATTTTGCTGATGGAAATTAGTACTACTCATAATGACGTAGATGTAAAATATTCTTCGCTTTTTCGCTTATTTATCACGGAAAAGTCGCTATTTGAAAATTGATTTTGAATTCATTTTTTAACGGATGCCCTGATCATGAGAGAAGCTTATTCGACTTTTTAAATACTTTCGTTAGTTGTAACCCCACCTCGAATTACTATTACAAAAAGAAAGAATAATTGGACCTATAGTAATAAAGGCTGCTGAAAGAGTTACGACAAACTTTCTGAGCTTGTTGACTCAATCTTTTAATTATGAAGTTAATTTAATATAATTTATTAATAATTAAATTAAAAATTTATAAAGGAATTTCCCATCTATCAATTACATTCAATAAATCACTATCTTTATTTTTTATTCTATTACTTCTTTCATTTGCAATTGCTTTGGTATATTTAGATATAACTCTCGAGCAACCGTTTGGACCCGATATAAAATAATTTGAATTCATACAGACTAATTTATCCAAAATTCCTTGTATCCCAGAACCATTTAATTCTTTATTATATTTTTCATTTTTTCTTAATTGTTCCAGACCTCCTAATGAAACCCAGGTATTTATTTTAAAAGTTTCATTTAATGTTCTTATAGCATCATGATGATAATTAGTGATTTTTCCAAATGTACTAGATTGTGATCTTGATGATAAAAGGGGATAATCTGTCGCTAAGTAAATATTTTTAATTTCTCCTTCTTCCATAACTTTGTTTAATGTTTTAATAAGACCTTGAACACATTCTGGTAATAATTTAGGTGTTGAAGATTCTAATCTCCAATGAATTCCAATGTATGAAGAAGATAATTTATCTTTTATTTTTTGAGCTTCATTTAATATATAATCATTATAAGGTATAACTGGCATAATTTGAAGAAACAAAGGATGAACTACATATCCATTCACTAATATAATTTCTTCGTCGATTGTGAGAACTTTGGTAAGTAATTTAGAAAATTCAACTCGAGATTTCTCCCTTATCAGGTCCATTTCTTTAATAATCATTTTTGTATATCTTACTCTGGAATTAGGATCTTTGAGATTCATTAATGGTTCGAATTTTGAAATACATTCATATACATCAAAATTTGGTTCTGCGTCATCATAAAATGTTTTCTCAACACTTCTATTTATTTTAACACTAGAATGTAATATTGATAATGGCTTGTCATTATTATTCATTATCTTTTTAATTTGATCACGTTCTTTAAGCCAAAAAATGAAATCATTTTCTGATTTAAATAAAACATCAGGAAATTCTTTTTGAAGTAAAGTGATATTATAATAAAAATCAAATGGAAATTTATTACAAGTACCAATTCGAGAAGAACCAACATTTGGTAAAACCATTATACGATTTAATTTTTCAGCCAATTGACTAAATGATCGAAAATGTAAATTCGCTTTCGTTTCTTGTTCTCCAATAATATAAACAAATAAAAATTTACATATGGGTTTACCACAATATTTTTTGTTTAGTTCTTCTAATTGGTTTTTACTATTATCATTATCAGCAATAGTAGTTATGGTTGTGTTCGATGACAATGTTGATAGTGAAGTAAGATGAACTTCTGTAAGTGTTTCTTCGTTCTATTTAATAAAAATTACTTAATTAACGAATATTTGAAGAGATTTACGAGATTTATAAAAATGTATTTACTTTATCTGATAATAATTCCTCTTGTTCAAAATAAAAAGAACTAATTATATACCACAATAAAAAGAAAAAACAAATTAGCAGAAATGAATTTCTTGTTATTTGACTCAAAGGCGTTTTTTTCTGCGAAGAATTCAGTCGGAGTGTCATCTTTTAGTACAAGTAATAAACGAGATCAGCCTTTTATTCAAAAAAAAAAAAAATGATGATATATAATGAAATACGATCCATGTCAAACTTGTTTATTGCCTATATCGGGATTGTTAGATTAATGTGCTCCATCATTTGGCTTAAATACAAGCCTTTTTGACGTTTTATCGTTTATCGTATCAATGATAAAGCAATTTTATTGCAAAGATCAAAATTTCGACAAAAAATTATGACGACAATTTTATAATGACAATACTACGCCATAATGAAATAATTTTGAAGTTATGACTGATATGACTGATAAACTATTTAAAAAATATAGGTTACAAATGAGGATTTTAATAATTTTTTTTTATTTGTTTCATATAAATTAAAGAAACAATATTCATTTTTTTTCTATCCCTAATATAGAAATAATAAATAGTGTTGATCAACCGATGAATTAACAAAAATAAACTAATGAAAAAAAAACGATCCTTTCATTTACAAAAAAAGAAAAACATAAAGACTGCTCTAATTACTTTTTTCTATATAGTCACATCACTAAAAAGATGCCGAAATTAACCAAAATTTAATTTCATTGTATAACGTCTACCATGTTACACGAATATTGTAACACCATTTTCAATTACTTCATACGAAACTCAGGTGACATAATTGTTACATTCTGAGGACACAAAAAAATCTGGACATATTCAAGTACTTATTCCCTTTTTCCCCTCGATAAATTTTCTTATTTCATGAGAAGAGATTTTTTAATGCGGTTTATCTATAGTAATAATTATTTTAATTTTTTTATATACTTTCCCGATACTCTCGTCAGTCGAAGAGCCCTTAATAGTTCGTTAAAAAAAAGGAATGGTGTTACGATTGAAAACTTGGTTAAATGCCAATTGCCAAATTTGGAAAAGCATCGATATATATATATAGGTATCATGACGTAGCTAAAAGATTTACGGCTACCTCGTGTGCTACCCTTATTTTTAATAATGACGTAAAGATTTTGTAATTTAAACTTCTGTTAAATATTCTTTCGTTCTATAAACCTCACTTTCTAACTTTACCATGGATAATCCAGTGAAAGAAATTCCAAAAGTTGCCAATAATATTTTTGCCAATCCTGACAAATCGCTCCTAGAAAAGGAGGTTAAAAGATCCTATATTCCAAATTTTGAATTTCATCATTTTTTAGTGGATGTCTCTCCTAGGCCTGGATCAAGAGAGAGGGTTATTCGACTTTTCAAATTCTTTCGAGGTAAGGTTTTGTTTATTAAAAAAGTAAGGTATTTCAAAATAATTAACATTTTATTCCTATCATTTATAGGATGTTTTTGGAGTAACAAGCTACAAATTAATGAAATAAGTAAGAATTTTTTTTTTATTTAATATCAAATCGGAATTTCTTTATAAATATTTAAACCCTATTAGGTTACAATGAAGAAAGCGGAAAGATGTTTTTAGATGTGACTCAACATCTCCAACCATTACTATATCCATGGATAGTCGTTCCAGTAAGGTAAAAAGGAGAAATTTATGATATCACTTCTTATATTTAAAAATATTTAAATTCATAGACATACGTATGCTTTTCATATATAGAGTTGTTGTTGAGTACTATTTTAGACGAAACGATGCAGGAAAATATTTTATTTGTCGACAAGATGATTTTATTGAACCAGAAGAATTAATGGGCGTAATTGTTCCATATCTCGGACCTATGGCAGTAAGGGCCGCTAAAACAGTTGCAGCAAGTTTTTCTGAACTTGTTGTCTCGATTTTTGAGTTAACTGGATGGAGTTAATTTAATATGAATAATAATAAATAATGATTTATTAATAATAAAATTTACAAAGGAATTTTCCATCTATCAATTACATTTAATAAACCACTATCTAATCTATTACTTCTTTCATCTGCAATAGCTTTGGTAAATGTAGATAAAATTCTTGAGCAACCCTTTGGACCTGCTATAAAATAATTTGAATTTACACAAACTAATTTATCCAAAATCCCTTGGATTCCGGGACCAATAAATTCTGTATCATATTTTTCATTTTTTCTTAATTGCTCCAAACCTCCTAAGGAAACCCATGTATTTATTTTAAAAGTTTCATTTAACATTCTTATAGCATCATGATGATAATTAGTGATTTTTGTAAATGTATCAGATTGTGAACTTGATGATAAAAGAGGATAATCTGTTGCCAAATAAATATTTTCGATTCCTTCTTCTTTCATAATTTTGTTCAATGTTATAATGAGACCTTGAGCACATTCTGGTAATAATTCAGGTCTTGATTGTTCTAATCTCCAATGAATTCCAATATATGATGATGATAATTTTTCTTTTAGCTTTTGAGCTTCATTTAATATATAATCATTATAAGGTATAACTGGCATAATTACAGGGAATAAAGGATCTAATACATATGAATTTACTAATAAAATTTCTTCGTTAACGGAGAGATCATCAATAAGCAATTTAGAAAATTTAGCTCGTGATTGTTCTGTTTTCAAATCAAATTTCGTAATATCCATTATTGTGTATTTTACTCGAGAATTATTAGGATCGGTAAGATTCATAAATGGCCCGAATTTAGAAAGACATTCACTCAAACTAACGACTGGTTTAACATTTCTATAAATTGTTTCAGATGTTATATCATATCTTCGAAGGTTAGAATGTAATATTGATAATGGTGGTATAACTTCATTATTATTTATATTATTCAACTTGTTTTTAATTTGATCACGTTCTTTAAGCCAAAGAATAAAATCATCTTCTGATTTATATAAAACATTAGGAAATTCTTTTTTAAGTAAAGTAACATTATAATATAAATTAAATGAAAAATTTTGACAAACGCTAATTTGAGAAGATCCAACATTTGTTAAAATCATTGTACGATTCAATTTTTCGGCCAATTGACTAAATGATCGAAAATGTAAATTCGCTTTCGTTTCTTGTTCTCCAAAATTATAAACAAACAAAAATTTACATGTGGGGTTACCACAATATCTTTTGTTTAGTTCTTTAAGTTCATTTAGTGGGTTTTCAATGCTATCGTTATTGTTTATGGTATTTAAGGTTATATTCGATGATAATGTTGATGGTGAGGATAAATGAACTTCTGTAAGTGTTTCCGTATTATTTGCTTGTTCCTATTTAACATTAATAAAAGAAATTATTATTACTTGGTAAATAAAATTTCAAAGAGAAGATTTTCAAAAAAAAAAAAAACTTACTCCAGTTAAAAATAACTTATTTTGTTCATATAAAAGATACCATAAAATAAAGAAAAAACAAATTAATAACGATGCCTTCGTTATTTGAATCGCTAACATAATTTTCTGTGAAGTTTGATTAAACTGTTTCATCTTTATATATAGTATTACACTAAATACGAAAGTTTATTATTAAAAAAAAAAAAAAGGAATGTTGAATTTTTGAAATGAAGAACGAGTACGAGAAAGCAAAAGTTAAATTTTATTTAATTGATTTCGTGTTGGTATTTTATAATATTTTAAATTCTAAAATTCTAAAATGTAATTGGTTAATCTTTCGTGTAAGGTTTATATTTTTCCATGTGGTTGTACAATTATTTTTATTTTAAGTGTAGCATTTAATTTTATAACGTGCATCCCCAAAATTCAGGTTTACGCAATAACACTTATATTAGACGAAAGAAATATAAGATTCGTATTAAATTAATTAGATTACATTTGTTGTACATTATTATAACTATGATTTTCCCCATCTTGTAATAACATTACGTATTCTCTTATCACCATTGTCTATTAAATCTTTTCTTTCTTCGCTAATAAGTCTAGTATAAGTTGAACGTATCCTACAACAATCTTTAGGCCCACTTAAAAAATAATCGGATTGTATACATACTAATTTATCTAAAATTCCATGTATACCTGAACTACTAAATTCTGAATCATATTTTTTATCATTCCTAAATTCTTTGAAAGCATTTAAAGAAACCCAAGTATTAAAGTTTAACGTTGAATTAAGCATTTGAATTGCTATTCTATGTTCTTTTCTTACACTATAAAATGTATCTGAAGCTGATTTACCTCCTGAAATAGGATAATCAGTTGCAAGATATACATTATTTATTTCTTCTGTCATTTTAAGATAATTAATTGTTTCGATTAAATTTTCAGCACATTTTGGCATTTTTTCTAATATACCTTGTTCCATTCTCCAATGAATACAATAATATGATTGTAACTTATTTACAATTTCATCTGCTTGTTTTATAATATGAGGAGCAAATGGTATTTGTTCTTCAATTAATGGGAACATTTGTCTTCGAGAACGATTTCGAATTAATATTACAGGAGATTTTATATCTTTAAGATTTTCCGTAAAAAAATTAAACATTTTATGTTCAAAATCATTTACATGACCAATTCCAGTATGAAATTCCATATAATCGGATATTTTTAAATCGAATTGGTTTATGCATAATTTAGAAAGAAGGTTTTTTTCGTAACGAACACCTGGTTCGACAGCCATTTGATTATGATCTCTTATAGAATAAGAATCATTTCTACCATCTTCTATAAACCATGTATGTAATGTATCAGGTTTAATTAAAAGTTCTTTTGTCCATTCTTTAAAAGTTTGTTGTGTCATGAATTTTATACTTGGAAACATTTTTTTCATTTTTTCTAAATCATAATAAAATTCAAAAGGAAATTTCGTACAACAATCTATTCTTGAATTTCCAACATTAGGTAATACCATTATACGATTAAGTGATTCTGCGAGAAAAGTTAAAGATCTAAAATGAAGATTTGCTCTTGTTTCTTGTTCAGGAATAAAATATGGAAACATGAAATTACAAGTCTTTTCACCACAATATTTTAAATTAACTTTTTCATCATGTTTTATTATATCAAAATCGGTTTCATCATTAATTCCAGCCGATTGACTTAATGACACTTTTTCTAATTTCTAATAATAATAATAATAATAATAATAAAAAGAAATATATAATTAATTAATTTAATAATAAAATAATCTCTCTTTTTTTCATTAAAAAATTTTATAAAACTTACTTCATTTGTATTCGATATTGAAGATATGATAAGGTATATAATGTATGTATATAAAATGAATAGTATTGTTCTTTTTATCTGTTGAGGATTACAAATGGATTGATTTTGAGTTTTTAACATTTTTGCTTTTTTTTTTTTTTTTCCTCCTCAAATTATCCAGGTTTATATTCGAAAAATGAATTGAATTTGGATTTATTTACCTTAAAAAGCTAAATTTAATAATTTATTCTAAAACTCCTTAATTAGAAAGTGCTATTCTTTTTGCAGATTTTAAAACAATTTGGGAGTATTTAGTGTTCGGGCGAAGTAACTCACTAGACCAATTGAGGAAAAAACTGTGCCAAGATAATGTGACAAAGTAAATATGTCACAATGTCACAGTGGTTGGACGCAGATCTTTTTTTACATTATACCCGAAACTAATTTTAGAACTTTCATCATCATTATATAACTGATAAACTTTTCATGATGCAATAATGATCATAAAGAATTTTCTGCTGCAGCGAAAAAATACATATTTCGAATATTCTAAATGTTAAAATTAAATTGATATTATAAAAACATGCCGGAAAGCAATTTATTACAGTACGAATAATATGAATGTGATAAGCACATGTACAGTATATCAATTAAATTGATCATCACTGAAAATCAGGTAAAGAAATTAGTACATTGTAAAATCAAATATTTACCTTATACATCTTATACATCATGTTGTTAGCTAGTTTTTGCGCAATATCCGTAGGGTTACCATCTCCGTATAAAATAAATCGATCGCATAGATTGTGTTTAGCCGGAACTGTAAGACCAAACTCTCCTAGCTTGATAGATAACAAGTTTCGACGATCCTTAATCTCTTCCTCCCTAATATATCTGCAATAAATTGCGTTACATCTACAACAGAGCAGATGTTTAAGATATCGTGAAGGTAATTCTTTGCTTTTTACAACCTCTTGAACATCACAAATATTGACAGTTGATGATTCTGATGATTTCTCCTTTTGTACATCAGATTTTCTATCCTTATGAAGAACCACTTTGAACCATTTACTAGATTCGAAGTCAATTTTGTCGATCCTAACCATATCAACAAGAACCGGTCGGATTTGAAATCCATTACTTCTCGTTCTTTTCAAATGGCACAAGGTGCAGAATCTTCCCCAATTTTTTGAAATGATTGATTTATATGTTTTGTATTTATACGCTCTTGGTTTAGGATCAGGAAGTTGTAGAGTCTTTGTTAATTGCCTCCAAAAGAGATGATTATCTGCCGCGAAATTCCAAGCACGGCATACTTGAGCGACACGTGTAAAATGAACAGGATGTTCTCTCAAATAATTGAATATCTCACAAAGAATTTCTTGAGGCAATGTTATCACAATTGAAGAATTTTCAACAATATAAACTGGTTTTGATACTTTAGATATCATCTTCTTGATCAAATATTATGTTTATATATAAAAAAGTTGATGTCTTATTTTCATAAATAAAAGAAAAGACAATAAAGTAAATAACCTTTTTCTATTATTTTTTTTTTTTGCTTAAAGAAAAAAATGAAGTCGAGCGAAAAAGAGTTATTATAATAACAGACTTTCAAGTTTATTTATAAGTTTAATCACATCATTTATTAAAAAAAAAATGTTATTGCCATAATTGCCATAATTATCAATTTTTTTTAAACTGCGAGGCAGCGGTTATCATAAGTATCACGATCGTCTGATCCCAAAAAAATTATATATTTCATAACACATTCGAAGGCTCTAGAAGACATTATTTCCAGTTTTCAGTTGGGATTTTACTGTTCATTGGATATAATAGGAGCCTTATTGTTAAACGTTACCCAATCCTATTAGAAGATATACGCGAACATGAATTTGAGACGTGACCTTTTATAATTTGATCATAATTTATTATTTTTTTTTATGCTTATAAAATCTTACAAATCTTAGGTAATAATAGCTTAGTAAGTTTAAATAGTGCCGCAAATTATATAAAGAGTGTTTCACATATAGCATTTTCTCATAATATTTTCTCATAATACTTTCTCATAATACTTTCTCATAATACTTTCTCATAAATTATAATCCGCTCGAATAAAATTATTTCGAATTTCGATACGACATGTCATGTACGATTACGATGAAAGAAAAACGAATAAATAGAAAGAGTAAGAAAGAAAAAAATTGGGTCAACCAAAGATTCTCTTACAAATCCATTCTTTTAAGGTGATTTGCCGATGATGCCTTAAAATTTTATAAATGATTGCAGCATGCTGGAATGAAATTTCAATTCCAAGCTTTTGGAAATATATGCTGCTGTCTGGGTACAGGATTTGCGGAAGGGGTTGCGCTGATACGATACCAGTTAAACGCAATTGATTGGTTATCTCAAATTCGGATAACGTTGCGGGCATTTTGGAATCAAATTTTGCTCCTTTTGTTTGTAGAACTTTTAATTAGAAATTATAATAAAAAAAATTTTTTTTTCGTAAAACATATCGTGAATTTTTTACCGTTATTTGCGACTTGATAGGCATGACCTAAAAATGTGTGAGCGATAAAATCGCCCACGACGTAATTTCTGTCAAGTTGGATTTTTTTCGATGTTATGGCTTCTACAACTAACTGGGCCAAATCTTCTTTAACAGTAACGTTCAAAAAGATGTATTGATTTGGACAATTGAATGCAGTAGTTATTGTAGAAACGTCATACTTCAGAATTTCTTCATCGAAAATTCCGATTTGAAAGAGGATCCAATGCATATGGCCATCTCCATAAATATTTTGATGTTCCAACAGTTTCTCATGCAGTCTTGTTCTGGGGCACACTTTATTTTTAATAAATGGATCTCTATTCAAATTAACCGTATTTTTTTTTCTTTTAATTAATTAAAGATTGTGAAAAATAAATATTATTTTCTAAAACATTATAAACTTACAATTCCATTCCAGAATCCCATGTAATAAACAGAAAAACCCTATGTTGTACACAGGCATCAAAAAGCATCTCTTGTTTTTCGAAATTATTATATAATAGACTAATTACGACGGTAGAGTCGACTTATGGGAGAAGTAAATATTTAGCGATTTCAAAAATTCCTTTATTATTAAAAAAAAAATTATATGAAGATAACTTACTCGTTATACCGTAATCATGAGAATCCCAAAGGACGGGGATTTTGATCGCTTCGATGTTTGCTGTTTCATACTATTTTTCCGTTTGTGTAAATTAATGCAAAAATTACTTATTTTGTTCATGAAAGCGTATAAAGGTACCATACCATTCCGAAATTAAACAACCATTTTTTGAACTTAAGTCCGACCAAAGTAGTCATAATTCTGGTCAAAATCGCCATAATGCAGGCCAGGGTTACTTATTCTCGGGTTTGTTTAATTTCGGAATGGTACGGTATAAATAATTAAATAAGCACCTTAATTTGGTCTCTTGGATAACATAATCGAACCTTCGTTGCACCTTTAATTCTTAATCGATTAACAATTTGAGTAGCTAACCGAAGATCATCATTGCAAACTATTGTAATATCTATATTACTGATGTCAACGTCGCCATTTTGCATAGTTCTTTGTATCATGTGATCGTCTAAATAAGTCATATTTTTGACCTCTTAGCTGGTTCTTAAGTTTAGGAAGATTAGTAATTGATCTAATGCCTAAGGACGAGGGAGTTGATTGCCTTAGGCAATTTTCGCGATTCTTCAATCTTAATAAAAACGAAACGAAGATGTGAAATGCTTAGAAGTATTCGGAATTAACAACAAACAATCGTAAGGGATAAGGTAAAAAAAAATTAGGAATACCCACCATAAATAACAAATTTGTAAGACTACGCCCGCTTCATTTCCAAATACGCGTACAGCCAAGTTTATTAAAAAGTGAATTATTGACTAGTGTTGCAGCCATATACTTGCAGAATCAAATAAGAATCAATAGATCCAATTCCGAAAAATTTTTAAAAATATTACTATATTGATAACCGAATATTAAATAAATTTATATAATTATATACGAAAAATCGGTTATGGGCGTAAAATAAAAAATTTTTTTTTTTCTTAAAAAAAAAAAAAAAAAAAAAGAAAAATCAAACAATGAAGAACTTTCCTTTGTTGTTATATAAAGATGTACAACACATCGTATATGTATTGAATCGCTCTCATCCATCTATTCTCACGCTTGGTCACAAATTATTGAATTTATATTATTAGTTTACCTATTTTTGAACAATGTTCAAAGTAAAAAAAATTGTGTAATTTTCGCGACATATCCCCGCAGTTTTTGGCTTATTAACTTAAATAGTATTTTGGCTTTTTGATTAAAACAATAACGTAGTTGAAATATGTTATAAATTGTATAAAAAAATAAAAAAAAATTTGTTAGTTAATCAATCAATCATTGGATTAGAAATTTTTTATGCATAAAAAAATCTTTTAATGAATACGTAAGATCACTAATGACGTTATAAAGTCCATTTTGTCATACCTTTTCTCCTGCAGGTGTATAATAAAATTGTTCATGTGACAACAAAAATCATTGGGGTAATTTGGGGTAAAAAAAAATCATAACAATGAAGCTGCAAAAAATTTTTTTGATTCCTTTTTCTTTTTATGCAATATTATGTGTGAATTTATATGCAAGGTAGGAAAAATTTATTGTTGGTAAAGGAAATATTACGAATTTGAAATAAAATATATTGGAGGTAAAAATGTCCTGATTTTAATTGGCAAAAAAAAAAAATTATTATTTTACATTCGGGATCAGCTCTTTTTTTGCTTAATTATCATGTGATTCCCATATCATATTTGTAATGAAATTGATTAACTAATTTATTGAAACATATGATAGTGTAACAATTAGCCAATACAACTATGCATATTTATTATATAATAATAATAAAAAAAGAAATATGATAGATTAGACTTTGGCTTGGACTTAAATCAATAAATTATGTAACTTTGGCCAAAATATTCACATACGTAATTTTTCTTTAATGATAAAAGAATGTAATGAGAAAAATAAATTTTTTAAAAAAAAGAACAACGAAGAATAATTAAAAGATGACAATATCTTTTGATTTTGTATGAAAACACGAATGATTCTAAATCATGAAGAGATTAACTCGAAAAAAAATATTCGGGTTTCTACAAGTAATTTAACCACGCGTAAACGAGATATAAACCCTAGATTTTCGCAATCATGTTTGTAAAAAAATAATTTTTTTTAATTATAAAAAAAAATAATGGCTACTCTAACTTATTTAAAATCTACTGACACAGAATACACTTCCATTAGTACTCAATTCATGAGTGGTTTATCCCATGCGAGGATTCATTCCATAATCAAAATTGATATGCCAAGTGATATCGCAAATAGACACGAAACTTTTAAAAGTTCACAGGCAGCCCTACGTTTATATCATGGAACTAAACATTGTTGTGATATTACAAAAATCTCTGATTTTAGCAAGTTGTGTCAGAATAGCGGATGCGGGTAAATTTAAAATTTGGCAATTCATCAATCTATCGCGATATACAGATGCTGATGTTTATTTATTTCTTTTCCTTTAAGTGTTTGTGGTATAATCCGTTACGGTCCCAGGCTTTCAAATGGTTTGTTAAAAACATAAAAACATTTGAAATACGTGTCAAACTCATTTATCCGAAAAACCTTATGGATTAAAATTTTTGCTTTCCGGTTGGATTAGGTTATGTTTGGTTTGGACCCTGTTCCTCCATTTCCGATGGTTACACCGGGGCACGTCCTGTCGGTATCATGGATCCATCTATACAAGTTCTCCGAGCTATTTTCGTAATGGATGTTGTATCTGCTACAGGAAGCCATGGAGCGTACATTGTTCCCAATGGAGAGGTTTGCTTTTGTTAATTTTTTTTTTCTTTTTTATAAAAACTCATTTGGTTTAATAATAATTGACGAAATTTATTGAATAATTAAGGCCGCACTTCCACGATTCCTTATCATTTATTCATATTAAGGATTTACATCATCATTTTTACGGAAATGTTATTAAATTTAAATTTTCTTTTTGTATTTATTGCAATTTACCCGATAATGTAGCTTTTAAAGTAGTTTGTTGATCATATTTCATAATATATATATATATTTATATATATATATATAATAAACAATAAAAAAGAAATCTCACATGATAATTCAATTCACACATATTTTATGATATGTTTTCATTGTTTGTCAAATTTCTTAAAGACTTTTATAATAAAATATATATGTTATGTAGCACGGTTAAATTTATATATTCAAGTATCCATTCAATATTACAATGCATTATCTCTACCATTATCAGCTGCAATATCAACCAGCATCAACAGAATCAACAGAATCAACAGAACCAATAGCACTAACTACAACAACAACAACTGCAACAGCTGCCATACTGCAATACTATTATCAGCTGCAACAGCCATCAACGCAACATCAGCTATAAGTACAATGAGCACAATGACGACAATAACGACTAAATTTTTTTTATTGATTTACAAATAAAGTATCTTTCAGAGTTTTTTGATTAGTAAAGATAATGTAATAATTGCATATATGAATTCTATATGACTAATTAATCTCACCCCACGAAAAATAAGGTCTGAGTGATCATCTCACACCTAAAATTAACTAGTAATTATCATTACAATTTCTAAATTTAAGTACGCTATGTCCACTCCCGCCATCCCAAATAGAATTCATCAATTAAAATCAGGTTTATGAGAGAATTTCTACAGTTGGAAACGTTGGCTCGGGGACCTTGGGGCATTGACATTTTAAAGAATGATGAATAAGAATGTATTAACTTCTATTTTATTTACTGTGATAGTCGTAAAATCATTATTCGGTTTGTTTGATGATAAATCTTAAACTAATGTCTTCCATTGTCATTCCATAAGATATATTAAGCATCTTCATTGTGTTCACGCGCTTCGCTTCAATTGCTGAGTCCCCTCTAACACAATATTTTGATTTTGCCTGTGTGTGAAGTGTTCTTCGTTATATCGGTAATATTTTGCAGCATTTATATTAGTATAAAATAATTAACACTCTTCAAATAATTTATTAAATTTAAAAAAATATAAAATATTTGACGACATAACAAATTTTATTCAGTAACGGAAATGCTCTACCATGTTCAACGTCCGTAAAATGGAACTAATACTCAGCACTTCTTAGAACTAACTATCCTTATTTAAGTACAGAATGTATTCACAATTTTAAATAAAAAGGATACGTTTACTTAAGAATAATAAACTAAAAAAAAATTTTTTCACTCTTTCATCATTCTTCTTATAGAAAACTTGATGCATAAGGGAAGATGAAAAAAAAAAAAGTGCGCCTAGAGATTGAATTGGCCAATCATATTATAAATAGATGTTGTGTAATCATGACAATTGTAGTTCACGTGTAAATAAAATTTTAACTTTCGGAGTATTTTGCAATGCTCCTTCAATCTTAACGAAACAATGGACTCTGAAATAGCTCGCACTAATTTTGAGTTTTCTAATAACATTGTTACAATTGATCCCGCTCAGGATCAAATTTACCGCTACAATAATGACGAACAAGTACAAATAAATCAAGAAAAGCCGTGGACTAAAGAGTGAGTAATTGAAAATCGATATGGTGTTAAGTGATCAAGTTATTAGGAATCTCAACTGTACGCGTTGTTAAATTGAATACAGCTGTTTTATCTATAATAATAGTCGAAATAATTTAGTCTTAGAATTCTGTCACGTTCCTTTAAAAAGTTTTGAGTTGATTTAATATCTTCTGATTTAATTTATCTTAGCATTCATTACTTTACAAAAGTCAAGATTTCCGCGGTGGCTCTTATAAAAATGGTATCGTATAAGATTGTATTAATAATCAATTATCTTTCTTTCCTTTTTCCTTTTTTGAAAAGACTAATTTCGTTAATATGAGAAGGTCATGCATGCTCGTTCGGGTGGAAATATTGAAGTAATGGGTTTAATGCAAGGAAAGATAGATGGCAATACAATGATTATCATGGATGCTTTTGCTTTACCAGTTGAAGGAACTGAAACAAGAGTGAATGCACAATCCGAAGCGAATGAATATATGGTTCAATATTTAACAACTATTAGACAGGTATTTTGCAAATAGATTTTTAATCGATTTGGTTAATATACTTATAAATAAGATATTAAATCTTTAATAGGTGGGAAGGTTAGAAAACATAGTAGGGTGGTATCATAGTCATCCTGGTTACGGATGTTGGCTTTCCGGTATTGATGTGCATACTCAAATGACAAATCAACAGTATCAAGATCCTTTTGTAGCTGTAGTTGTAAGTAAACTTATAATGTTTCCTGCAATATTTGTATCTTGTTCTTTTATTTTCAAAAAACAAAAAATATTAATGAATACTAATAGTAAACTTTTTATGGATTTTTAATTAGATCGATCCTAATCGAACTATATCTGCTGGAAAAGTGGAAATTGGCGCGTTTAGGACTTATCCAGCGGTAATATCAATTATTTTTTGATATTTATAAGATCTTTTATAAATTAATTTCGTTGTTTATTTTTTTGTTTAAAGGGATACAAAGCACCGGATGAAGGTCCATCAGAATATCAAACTATTCCTTTGAGCAAGATTGAGGATTTTGGTGTTCATTGCAAACAGTAAATTACTATTATAATCCTAATGTAATTTATTTTGTTTAAATTTTATAACTAAGGTTTATTATACATGTAGATACTATCAACTTGAAATCTCGCATTTCAAATCTACTCTTGATATACATTTATTGGAATTACTTTGGAACAAATATTGGGTTAACACACTATCACAATCACCATTAATCACGGTATTAATACGTGTCTACACATATTTGCTTTGAAAACTTATGCATCATTTAATTTAATCCATCATTTTATTTAGAATCGCGATTATTCAGCCGGACAAATTTCTGATCTTGCAGAAAAGTTAGAACAGACTGAAGCTCAGTTACAACAGAGTGGAAGAGTTTCAGGTTTCCCTGGTGGATTAGGTGGCGGGCGTGGGGTTAGCACTACTCAATCTTCAACATCATCATCTTCCACATCTGGAGGTGCTAGTGGTGCTACATCTACACCTACCCCGGAAAAGAGGAAAATTGAAGAGAGTCCACTCAACAAGGTTACTCGGGATAGGTACGTATTTCCCGAAATTTCTGTTTGGTTTTACTTTAAACTATAAAATTTAATATATTCTTTTATAAAAAAAAAATCGTACAATATAGTACAAAGATCACTGTTGAAGCAGCTCACAGTTTAATCTCACAAGTTCTCAAAAATGTTTTATTCAATAAATCACATTAATTTTTTTTTTTCAGTTATTTAAAGTAAGTGTGTATCCCATTTCGAAAAATATTTTGTTTTCTCAGTTATATAGATTTAGTGACATAACTATCCGTTTTTGCAATTAGGCCGGACAAAATATTTTTTAGATCATTATAGCCTACCATGTCAGTTAAAAATTCAGGGTGTTTTCTATTTAGTAATATTTTGTTTATTATTATATTCAAATTTGAAATAATAAATCGTGATAAAAAATATTCGTAATAAAAAATTAGATAATAAATTTCAATAATCGCATTTTGTTGTGGATAATTATAAATTTTTTATTTTTTATCTGATTCATCTCAATTACTTTTCTGTACATGAAAATATTTTATCATCCAAACATGTAACTCAACAGCAATGCGAAACCTTTTTTAGAATAGACGTGGGTGGGAACACGGCCATTTTGAGGGGACCCGACACTGATCGGCATCAAACAAAGCAAAGGAGGTAATGTTTCGTTCTAGAATTCCCGCTGTCCCAATATTAATCCTCAACGCTCTTTGGCAATTGTTTATGCAGCTACTGATTTTAAAACCTGATTATCCCCTGTTTTTTATTATCATTTAGAAAATAAAGTTATGATCTACACACGTTTTACAATATAAGGCAAATGACGAGCTCCGGTAATAGATTGCCACGTAGAAAATTTAGATTATTGTAACATTGATGATTTTTCGTATATAAAAAAGCCTCTGCTTTTACAAATTTATTTTTTTTTTTAAAAAAAAAATTACATCTCATTAGACTTTAGAAATGGTTAAAAACAATAATAAAGGCACAGGCCCTAGTGATGACTCGAGCTCGAAGTCGAGCGGATTTGCTTTGACGATTACACCTTTCACTGGACTTACTTTGTTAGCGTTACTTGTTGCCGTGTTATTCTCATGGGATCAATATAGAGGTGGAGATTTAGCAGTTTGCGATTTAATTAAACCGGATTATAATGATAGAACCGAATGGATTACTATGCCTGATCATAGAAACAAGGAAGAGTATCTTAAATATGAACCAGGAACCTTTGTTTACAGACACATATATATGGAAAATTTTGAGGAAGTATTTGGCGTGAAACCAATATATTTTCCAGTGCGTAGATTTTTTCCTTTGATTCAATATGTGTTATTATTTGTATTATTTATTAAATGAATTTTAATTTAATTAATCATACTTAATAGATCATTGATGATGATATTTCTCCTTATTTGGCCAAGCATAATCTAAGAGCCCGTTTATTAAATTCCACTGATATTAATCAAAGTACTGTTCAAGCACTTCTTAGAGAATCTGATAATTATATTCCACAAGTTGAAAAGATAAAATATGAGGTCGGAAATGGAACTTTTGTCGATGATGGTGGAATTTATATTCGTTGGATTAATGATATTGTAAGATATGGAATGTATGCTTCCAAAACTTTCCAAAGAAGAGATATATTGGGAGTCTATTCTGGTAAGATAAAATATCCTGAGATCTAAATTAAAGATGACATCATTCATTTAATCGGTGTAATATAATTTGCAGGATTGGTAACACGTCAACTCACTGATCTTGAATATGGTAAGCATTACATTCATCATACATTCATACATTCATGTTGATAGTATCGAATTTACATTAAATATTCGCGTATTTTCCAATGAATAGCTTGGGAATTCAATTATCTTGTTGATGTCAAAGATGAAGAAGATAAGAAGATAAGAGTTTGTATTGATGCAAAACACATGGGAAATTATATGCGTTTCGCTAATCACAGAGATAGTAAGTTTTTCAATATTTTCGGACATTATTATAAATTCTTTACTAATTGGTTATGATTTTTTAATAGCAAATCAAAATGGAGATCAACTTTACGTTGTTTATAATGATCTTTGGCACGTCCTTTATATCGCTCAAGCGGAAATTAAAGTAATTATCATGAATCATTAATATTAATCCATCATTTAACTCATTAAAAAAATATTAATAATCTTTAATTTTTTAAATATGTAGCTCCATGAACAAATTTTTGTCAACTATGGACAAGGATACTGGGAAAACAAAAAGAAATATGACTTTTAAGGAAAAAAACGTCGACATATCTCTAAAAAGTTCGAATAATTTAGTAATAATTTATACTAACACAAAATTTTTTTTTTTAATTTTGTGTCAAATTTAATTGTATTTAAAAAGTAGAAAAAAAAAGAAAAAAAAATTTTTTAAATAATTTGTTTTATTTCAGTTATAGAATATTGATTTATTTACATATGATGAAAGTTCAAATGTAGTTTGTAATTTTGTGTATGTAAATATATATATATATATATATATCTTTTTTTTAAAAAAAGAGACATTAAAAATATATTTAATATTTTAAAAAAAAACTAATGGATAAAAATCGTACATAGATTCATACTAAAAGTAATTATTTATTTTTAATTAATTTTTTTTTTTGTTTTGTATCTATCAATAAATTAAATTATGCACCCTTATATTTATATTTTAATTTCTCTAAACTCCTAATATCTTGTTCTGAATCTTTAATCAAAAATAATGCAATTATGTCAAAAACAAGTATTCCAAGTGGTATCGCCCACCATAATTTTTCCATTTTTTCAGTATGTATTGCTATTATATTTGGTATTATGGAAAGAAATGCACCTACATAAATGTGAATCATGGTAAAATTTGGTGCTTGTAAAAGAAATATTGAAGATATCAAAGCTCCAATCGAGGATAACGTTGCTATCATTTGATATGGTGCATATGAGTAAATATGTTCAGAAATTGGTAACGGAATTATCGGATTTGATGATGATGTCATAATCTCATATAAGAAAATTAAATACCTGAAACGAAAAATAAGTTATTATTATAGTGTATATGGTAAAAAAAAAAATCCATAAATGATTTAAAGAAAACTTACAAAATCACCATCATTAATGATACGAAGGCCAATGCTTTCTAAAATTCAAATGATTTATATTATTATTATTAGATTTATTATTTTATAAATAAATATAGCGAAAATATAATGTAAATAATAGCCATCATAACAACCTTGAAGAAACTATTAGCTCGTTCATTTTGTAATCTTAATTCTTCAATAATTTGATCCTGTTCTTAATATTTAAAAATTAACGAATTTATAAGTTTTCAAAATTTTAAAAAATGTTTAATGTATGAAATGGGAAAAGAACCTTGTTCGTCTAGAAATTCTGCTACTTGTTCTTGACCTTCCCCAAACCCCTGATCTAGAAGTGAATATCTTTTTTTCAGTCCGTCCATATGGTGTGAAATAATTGGTAAAAAATTGCCACTTGTATTGCATATAAACATAAAAAGTAAAGTGTCCCACTTTGTGAAATAGAGAATAAAAGAATCAAATAAATTTATTCGAACAATTTGCAGTAGGCATAAGTTTCTGAAATTAATATAAACAACACGATCGTGGTTTTGTGACGTTAAATAACGTGATTTACGTGATTTAGACCAATCATGTCTAGGTCAAAATTGTCTTGATAATCTGAGAGTAATATTTGATTTTTATTTTGAGATTCCAAATCTACCTTTCTAAAAACCAAACACAAATATATTATTATTAATTATACTAGAAATTAATCATTTGTAATATTGAATGCAATCTAAATAAAATAATGAGTTTCTAAACACATAAAAGTCGTCATTTGGAACACAAAAATTATAAGAAAAAAAAACAAAAAAAAAACCAAAAAAACTTTCTACACTTTTTAAATAAAAATTACAACGTCCCTAGACAACATGAAATAAAATAAATAAATTACAATTACAGTATATACAACAAAAGAAAAAAAAAAACTTTTTTTTTCATTAAGTGAAAGTTTTATGTTGAAAAAAAAAAAAAAAATAGCTTACAATTGGAAGAAATAATTAGGAAAATTAATTTTAAAGTAAATAATTTAAATAGCATAATGTCATCAGGGCGATGAGAAAAGTGTTCAAGACGAGTTATTAATTATAATAAAGAATTTTAATAAAACCAAAAATTTTTTTTTTTGTCTGTTGGTTCCAGCTTCAGGTGAATTGCTTGATTCATTATTCTAGATACAAACAGAAATTATAGCTTCGAATAATTTCAAAGAGTTATTTTAATTATTCGTTTTAATAAGCTGATAGTTCATTACCAATCTCATCTCGAGAAGTTATAGAAGATTCAGAATCAGATCTTCTATGAGATGAGAAAATATCAGAAACACCTGAAACGCCGGATAATGTTGATGGAATATCCGCTTCGATTTGAGTCATAGTTGATCCGGGATATTGATGTACGTGAATATTAATTGTAGTATGTCCTAGGACAGGAGGAAATAAGTACGAGCCATTATTATTAAAAGAATGTTGTTCATACAGTAGACGAGAATTATCTCCAAAATTAGTTGTTGCATTAGAGGTAGAAGGATTACTAGTAACGGTTGTCGAGGTCGTATATGCAAAGTTTAATGGATTGGAACTTTCTTTTGACATGCGTTTCATAAATGTTTTTCTTTTTCTATCTAGGGGACTACCTGGTTCAACCCTATAATCATGACCATCACTTTGCCCAGATATTGTTCCGGAATTAATCGTTACCGAGCTATATCTATGTTCTTGATCAGAACTAAGACTTGTAGAAAGCATGCTTGGAGATGTTATGGAGATCGTAGGCTGGTTCTCCTTTTTTTCTAAGAATGTTCGGACAAACCATCTTAAGAAGGAAAATTTTTCCTTTTTTCGTCCCATATTTTCTGGACTAATTTGAGAATTGTTCATGCTCAAATGTGAAGAAATTGGAGAAGCTGGAGAAATTGTGATTCGTGTTATATTTGGTGAAGATGGTGGATGATATGTTTGTGAAGGCGGAAAAGGTGAAGAACTTTGAGGTGATTTAGGTGATTTCGGTGAATTTGTTGAATTTCGTGATTGAGATATAGTTGACATAGGAGACATAGGAGACATAGGAGGACTATTTAGTGAACTCGTAGCTTTTAAAGGATTTTTTGAGTAACCATATTTTTCAATAAGATCTTTTTTAACTTTTCGGAACGCGTTATGAATTGCAGGGTCAAATAGAAACGCGATAAAATTAAAAAAACCTGTAATATGTATAGATATGTATATGTATGATTAATTAGATAACGTGAAATTTTATTGCATCTTTACGTTAATTACAAAAAAAAAATTATTTTTACCGGGCAAACAAGTTCCAATAGTAGACCAATAAATTAGTGGTTTTGGTGGAGAATAATTTTTATGATTTCCATGAATAGAATTCCAAGTATAATTCACTATAATACCACAAACAGTAAGGAGAGGAATTGCCGCATATAGAGAAATTCTGCTTACTAATTTTAATAACAAAAGTTTTTGCCTTTTAGCTTTAGCGGATAAAGTTGCGCTACTTTGACTAGGAATTGCTTCAACTAATTGTCGGTGTTCAAAAATCAATTTACATACTACAATTACTAAAACCGTAGTACAATAGATCATTGATGAAGCTACAGGTATGATAAAAGTTGCTAACCTCCACCAATTTGTTTCTTTGCTAAACGTATTACGGTAAATGCAAGTTCTTGTGTCGGTATCATAACCAAATCTATTATAAACTAAAGGTGGAATATTTGTAGCAAGAGCCATTAATAATGCAGCGGGAATATACCATCGATCCGAAAATGATGATACTTTTTTACTATGAAGAAACACTATTTGTAAATTGAATGCTATCATAACTGTTAGGAAAAGATACAATTGCGGGAAGAAGGATAATCCCGTAGCTATACCAGTACATTCAGGTGTATCTCTAGGTTGATAATCCACGTAAGCAATTGTGGTAAATCCGGACAAAACATCAACGAACGATATCATAGCTGTAAGTCTTAGTGATACACGGTTTACAAGCTTTTTATCATAAAAATACATGAAAATTATTATAAGTAATACTATTGTACCTCCTATTATGCTAACTACACTTAAATAATAGTGCAAATAATTATTTATTTGTAACTCTTTTTGATTAGCAACATCGTCTTTATAGGCTTGATTATCAGGAAAGTCTACATAAGGAATAGACGAGTCGGAATATGGGTCTCCAGGAACATTCGTTTCGTTTATTGACATATTCTCTTAAATTTTATGTAAACACTTTCTCCAGGATGTGTTGAATTTATATACTTTATTAAACGTTTATTCATTCAAAGGAAGGTATTTATATTCAGTTATAATCTTTAATAATAATATGGTTGCTCACTTTGTCGGTTTGAAATTCCTAAAAAAAAAGATTCGTTGACGTTTAATGTCGTACGTTATTTTTAGGAATTGTAGGCGGTATTTAAGTATTTTTTTAGGGAGTATTCAATAGCTGTGATAATATTATCTTAGCGTTGAATGTCGAAATATATTGGTAACCAGCAAAGAAGCAAAAGGAAAAAAAGCCTTAGGTAAATACAAGGTTTTATCAGCGCTTTTATTATTTCCAAAAAGCAATTGTATTATACATTTGATTTAACGTGTATAAAAAAAAATTTCTATTATTTACTTTTACTTCTCGATATATGTCATATTAAAATTTCCTATTTTTGCATTGATCTACCGTAACAATTACACGATTGGTGTAACAAAATTAAAAAGATTACGCTCCAAAAAATAAAATCCATTGTTAGACTTAATAGAGTGAACATGCTCTTACAATCCAATCAAAGATTGACATTGTGAAGTAATTAATTTTGAATCCAAACCTCAGATATTTCAGATATAAAAAAGTATTTCCGAAATATCACTGTAACAGTCATAAGATATATAAATATATTTAATGATTTATTTATTATCCCCCTCTTATTCTCTTATCCGTTAAATTTTTTTTTTTTTTAATACTTGGTAGAAAGAAAAATGTGGATGAAAAGTTATGGTGCCATGCGGAACCAAACTAGCCTAACCTTTTTTGGCATACAATTAGCAATTCTCTTAATTTTTGATTTTAACATATTTATATTGTTAATTCTCCTTGTTTGACCAATTTGGTCAACTAAGTAAAATCTATAACTGTATAATAACGGTATTAGAGGTAATCATTTAATAAACTGAAGAAATTTTCGTAATACATGATCGATTTACACCAACATATATGAATGAAATGAAATGTTTGTATTGAAACAATGAACTTAAGAGTAGCTTATGATATTTATAATATTAGACATCTCTAGATTAAGTCTTCTATACTCAATTAATTTTTATTTTTGTTAATATTCCTTAAGATTCTTTTTAAAAAATTTTAAAGTTTTAATTGAATTAATTGAACCATTATTCACACATTTAAATCCCGAAATTCCCAAAGTAAATAATTAAAAAAAAATAATTACATTGCATGTTTAAGCATGTTACAATGTGTATGCTAGTTAGATTCTTTTGATAGTACTAGGTAAATGCGTATAAATTGCAATTTAGTTTCTGATTTCTGAATCAAGTATGATGATTGGTGGAAATTTGAAAAAGGAATTTAAAGATTTAAAATAATATTTTTGATAGTGGCAAGAACAGGATAAATTTAATTCACGTAACAAATTTCACAATTGAAATGGCAAAAGATTGTTTATAAACGTAACGCTATCAATTTTATCACGAAACCTTTTTTCCTTTTTTTATTCACTTACTTCATGATAACGTAACTCGCGTGTAAACATAAGTCATAATATTATCGTTTCATGTATCGCGTTAATTAAAGTTTCGGATTGAATTACAACCGCTTCTGCAATTACGTTTCCCTTGTTCTCTTTTTTGAGTAAGAATTTGTTTACTTGTGTCTTTTAATTATAACAAACTTTAGCGGCAGTTTTGAATATACAACATACTATTAAAAGATTTCAAGTGAGAAATCTAACTTTCTCTAGTTGGCCTTTTTTCTTTGTACATTTTTAATTATTTAATTTGTTATAAAATTATTATCTGTTAGTAATTTAAATTATGTGATATAATTAAACGATTTAGAAAAAAAGCATCCAGCAAAATTTTATATTATAAAAATTAATGCTCACTATTAGAGCATGTTGTGTATTAATTATAATTATAAATGCATACAGTATTTGAATATTTTTAATTATTATTTTCTTTTGTTTTCTCTCCTTACATACCGACACATTATGTTTCTTCAGAGATTTTATTCATTATCATCATGTATTAACTTTGTTATCTAATAATTTTTAAAAGTGATTGAAAATTCTAGATGATAATGCAACGAGAAATTTAAAGTTGAACTACATTAATGAATGATATTGACAACATTGAACGACATGAACTCTGAAAACACGTGTACTTGATTTGTTATTCAAATTGCATGTTATCATTAAATGCATGAAATGATTGTATTAAAAATATAATCGAAAAATTAAAAGTTTATACTACATATTATGCCACAAAGTATTTCCGAAATTATAATAACAAATCGTATTTTATATACTATTGAATGCTTAAGAAAGGAAAATTTTTGATCGCTGTAAATCTTTATTGTTTAATTGATATTAATCTTAATAGTGTTTTGGATATTTATTTATATTGATAGATTAAAAAACGTCCAATCGTTAATAATAAACTTTAAAATATTATATTTTTTTCTATTTCACAAAAAAAAGAAAATTTCAATTAAATCAATTAAATCAATATAATCGATTAATATTACAGTATCTCAATGAGAAGAAAAATTCCGATAATGTGAATTTTAAAGAATAAACCTTTTTTTATGGTTCATTCTGTTTATTCTGTTATGAACTAATCAATGACGGCACTTATTAGATGAGATAATGGTATTTACTTATATTTGTTCCACCCTATAAAAATGCATTCTTAATAATTTCATTATTTTACCATGATTTCCCAGTATTCCATAAATGCAATTATCTATATTATTATTGATATCTAAAATGTAAGAATAAATAAATAAAAAATATGTGGTTTGATTTTAGGTTTCTAATGCCCCAGAATTTGTTTTTTTCCATAAATTTAGGATATATATAATCAAAATTTCAATTAATAAAGTAATCAATCTAAAGATTTTTTACCTTTAAAGATTAAAACTATTATGGTAGTTATTATTAAAATTCTAGTTTATATGTATTTTAAATAAATCTTAATATTAAATATAAAACTTAAGATCTAGAAATCAAACACTTCTACAAATTACATTAAGATTAAATTACTTCAAATTCCAGAACTTTTAATGAACTATATATATTAAGAAGGTAGAGTATTGCATTTTTTCATAAAATTATATACTTCAAGAATAACTAATGCATTTAAGTAATAAAGTACTTAGATTTAACTAAAGAGTCCTAACTAGAAAATTATTTATAAATAATAACTTTTAAAATATAATAACTTTACATACATACTATGTAAAAATAAAACTTTTAATAAATATTTTTATATTTGTTAATTTATTAAAACAAATGATATTTCTATTTCTATTTGCTGTAATAACTGCTTTAATTTTAAAATATACTATTTTTTATAAATTCTAGAATAATAACTTTTAATACAATGAATTTGTAAGTAAATATAATATTATATAAGTTTTCTAGTATAACATTAATTTAATAAATTTTTTTATTAAATAAATTAATTAAACTTGAACTTATAGAAAAGTGGAGGCTAATAAGACTCTTTTAAATATATAACTAAAAAATCATCATAAACTAATGAAATAGCCTAAAATTTTAATAAGACTGATAAGAGTATTATCCAGTTATGCTATAATGTTATTTAATTATGAGTATAATGTTACTTATAATGTTCTGTGATCTTATTATTACTTTATTGCTATTCACTTGATTTTATTGCTCTATAGCTTTTTTATTGCTTTGTAGATATTTACTTGATTTTATTGCTCTATCCTCTTTTTATTTTCTTTTAACTATCTGCTTGTTTTCAATATGCTAACATTAATTGCTAAAAATCATGTTATGATATGATATAATAATATTCTCTTTTTCTATTATATTATAAATATGTTTTATCAATATCACTTTAAAGAAATTTCTTTTTAGTGACCATACTAGTTAATAGCTTCTCTACATTGCCTTTACACCAGGCAAGATATTCTTAATACAAAATAGCACAATTTATTTGTTTACAAGTCATATCTTTAGGCCATGATAAAATATATTCCAATGTAAATAGATCATTATTAGAATAAATTGCTATATTAGAGTTTTTTATTTTATTTTGCCTTACAACATTTTGGCCATTAATTATATCTTTAAATTTAGCATTTTTAGCATTCTCATCTTTTAATCATTAACTTGTTTTCTTAATGAATTGATTTCTAATAGGATTTTGCTTATTCTTAATAGAGGTCTCTAGAAAAAATTTTAAATTTACTAGTAATTTTACTAGTGATCCTATTGGTTAATTGATCTAAAAAGGAAAAAAATCATAACAATTTAGTATAATATTTCCTTTTTTAGGTGTAATTTATTTACATATAATAGGATCTTTAAAAATTTTCAATTATAAATTTTACCTTAAGTTTCTAGTAATCTATCTTATAAATAAATGGAGTCCTTTTTCAATTGCATATTTAAAAACTTGTGAGCTGTTGTAAATTTAAATTCTGTATTTTGCTAGGACTCCGAATATCACATATATAACTCATAACTGATCTGCATGAATTTAAGTACTTTTTGCTCCTGCTAAAATAGACCTAATTTGCTAAAAATCAAATCATCACATTTCAAATCTATACTAATTTGCTAAAACTCAAAATATAAGTTAATAATCTTTTTTTTTATTATCAATAAAAAAATAAATGATTAATATAAATTAAACTGTCAATTTTTATAATTAAAATATGTCGATTATAGATAAAATAATAATTAATAAAAATAATATATAAATTAAATAAAATTATTAAAAATAAAATGTTGCGAAACTAAACGGACGGATTTTGGCCCGCATTATGTTTAATTTTGGCCGGAATTATACTTAATTTTGGCCAAAATATGACCTGGACGAAACTAGTATTTTTAAAAATATTATTTATAAAGTTAA